TACTGTTGACCTCGACCTTCGGTCTCTGTCAACAGTAGTTTCTCGGTTTACAGTCTCGGTATACAATTTTGCCGGTTGACCTCTGGAGAGGTCAACAATTGTATACTGTATTCGTATTTCCAAAACTGTTGGCATAAGGACAACATACCTCACACCCATCATTGTTCATCTTATTTATTTGTTCCAACAGAGAGTAGATTTGGTGCCCTTAGATCAAGAGGAATGTAACGCTGCATTGTTGAATCAAGGATTTTATAAGAAAAAACGAGCGAACGAGGTTGTCCCAGAAGCATACCGCACAGGACCTTACAAACCAAAGGGACAGAAGGATGAATTATAGCATGAGAAGTTTACCAGTTATCTCCCTTATAGCAATATAAGACATGGATTGTTCTCCATTCGATTAAGTTTTTAGATGATATAACAATATCCATAACCATAGGAGAATTGTCTAAAAAAGCTTTCTAGCCTACAAGACACCACTTTATATAGAAGCCTCAGTGATCTCCAAAACTGCAAATTGGTGGGACATTTTGCATTGTACAAGCTGATATTAGCCTTGCCCAAGTCGGTATTTTTTACTTATCTGATCTTGAATTATTACCGCCTTGTACAATGCAATACATCTCCGCTGCTATTATGCTGAGATATTCAACGGTTTCGAGATTTCCATAATACCTACGCTATCAGGGGTATCGCGAAACCTTATTGATTAACAGATATGGGGACACTCAACCATTAGATCCTTCCGCCGAGTGGGAAGACGAATAGATGGCATTATAAAAACAAAAATATAGTCCAATTATTGTAATTACATTAGCATCACCAGTGGTTGGATTTTGGTAAGTACATGAATGAAAAGGTGTATGTATGGACCAACTCTGAGACATGATTTGATGTGATTAAGGTGCATTTTCTTTAAAAAATTTGACTTTTTTGACCTGCCTCCATCTGTCAAAATCAGAATGACATTTTTTGACATTTTCTATAGATGGCGTCTTCAACAGGTGAGATCTTTTGATTTTCGTGGGGAGTTTTGATTCAAACTTTTTTCACTGACAGAGGACATACTGGGGTATGATGGAATGATAGCAAAACATCTCCACAAATCTTAGTTTTCTCTGGAAGACAGATCGTTTGTATGGGAATACGCATGTTATAACAATTGGTTGGGTTAACCCTATTATCGCCCATTCTGGAGTACCACTTTTTTTTAATTTGGTCATATTTCTCAACTATTTCCAGTTTTTATTGGAACTTTCATTCATTTCAGCTCTCTCAATGTGTTTGACAGAGTTTCATGTCACTATGGTCCATGCTTATCCCAAAAAGTGCTGAATAAGCATTTTTCCGCAAAAAATTTACCCCGTGTTATTTAAATATGTGAATAAATTAGAGAAATTTATTGATTATTTTTCTTAATCACAAAAAATGATTCTAGGCAAAATGTGCTTTCCAGATATAGCTCATTCAGCTCTGTAATACCTCCCCAGCTCAAACTAGACATCTCCCAACACATCCGTCATAGGCTCCAACCAGGAGTCAACTTTGTGTTAGTTTGGTCATATTTCTCCACTGTTTCCATGATTTTTATTGGAATTTTCACAAATTTTGCTCTGGAAGGCTAAATCATTGGCCATGACCTTACCCTAACCCCAACACTATCTCTAATCCTAACTATAGCCTAACCCTAAGCCTAACCCCAACCCCTAACCCTAACCCCAACACTACCCCTAACCCTAACTATAGTCTAACCCTAAGCCAGAGCCTAACCCCAACCCCTAACCCTAACCCCAACACTATCCCTAACCCTAACTACAGCCTAACCCTAAGCCAGAGCCTAACCCCTAACCATAACCCCAACACTACCCCTAACCCTAACTATAGCCTAACCCTAAGCCAGAGCCTAACCCTAACCCCTTACTCTAACCTCAACATTACCCCTAACCCTAACTATAGCCTAACCCTAAGCCAGAGCCTAACCCTAGCCCCTAACCCTAACCCCAACACTACCCCTAACCCTAACTATAGCCTAACCCTAAGCCAGAGCCTAACCCTAACCCCAACACTACCCCTAGCTCTATCTATAGCCTAACCCTAAGCCCAAGCCTAACCCTAACCCCTAACCCTAACCTTGACTTAACCCTAAGTAATCAAATACAGTGTACAGAGAGATCATTTATCAATTGGGAGACCTATAATTGGAAATATGTGTTGTTTTGGCTTTCTTTGATGAATATTCCCCAGGGTAGAACAACAATTGGAGAAAATGACCAATTTTTCTGTATCCTCCATACTAAATATTTCTCTGTAAACATTCAGAAGCAATAATAATGATTACTATTAGTTCATGTAGTTGATAACACATGAATTGTTCTATCATTTGACAAAGTTTAATGACACGATGGCCTGTACTATTTCCCAAAAGTGTCGAATAGGCATTTTTTTGCAAAAATCTACCCGTGCTATTTAAATATGCGCATAAATAAGAGATATTAATTGACTATTTCTTTAAATTACAAAAATTGATTCTAGGCAAAATGTGCTTTCCAGATATAGCTCATTCAGCTCTGTACTACCTCCCCAGCTCATACTAGACACCTCCCAACACATCTAGCCATAGGTTACAATTTTAGTCAATATCCCAGGAAAACATCTAATTGCAGAAAGGAGGTGGGTAACTTTAATCATTCATATATCTGGAAAAAATAGTCGAATCTGCTTGCGGTTTGTATTATTTTACTAGAAAACAACTTGGGGTTACATTTTGGAGGAAATTACAATTGTTACTTAAAGGATGGGTCACTACTAGGGGACACTCAACCATTAGATCCTTCCGCCGAGTGGGAAGACGAATAGATGGCATTATAAAAACAAAAATATAGTCCAATTATTGTAATTACATTAGCATCACCAGTGGTTGGATTTTGGTAAGTACATGAATGAAAAGGTGTATGTATGGACCAACTCTGAGACATGATTTGATGTGATTAAGGTGCATTTTCTTTAAAAAATTTGACTTTTTTGACCTGCCTCCATCTGTCAAAATCAGAATGACATTTTTTGACATTTTCTATAGATGGCGTCTTCAACAGGTGAGATCTTTTGATTTTCGTGGGGAGTTTTGATTCAAACTTTTTTCACTGACAGAGGACATACTGGGGTATGATGGAATGATAGCAAAACATCTCCACAAATCTTAGTTTTCTCTGGAAGACAGATCGTTTGTATGGGAATACGCATGTTATAACAATTGGTTGGGTTAACCCTATACGCGTGGACACGACGTGTGACTTCAGGCTGATTGACCAATCAAAACGTTATCAGGTTGAGCTGCACAGCAAAACGATCTTCCCGTCTACGACTTGAAATTCAATGATCTGATCGATCGCGACCGTTTCTTTAGAGTTACAATATATTATGTAATTAAATGTACATAGGGAATGTAAGAGTCATTAATATAAATTAAATCATGCAATAGATTTAAAACTGATCTCGCGATGAAAATGCAAGACCTAGTCCAATGTAGCGGGTCATGTAGTCGTCGATCAGTAATTGAATCTCAGCCTACATGTTCATTTGAATTCAGCGATCCTTTCAACGTTTATTGTTGAAATCTTCTAACCTCCGGTTACCGATCGATGTCTGGCATCCACTTAATTAACTCTGATTGATATTTATCTGATAAAATATTTGTATTTTCATGATGAATTCATGCACGGACGTCAAGTACGTTTCTGGCGAAAGCTGGAGCATAGATTATTTAGAGGACTGGAAACAAGATGGCAGTCTATTTCAATTCTGGCAGTTCATTTTGGCCTATTTCTCACTATTGACTCAGTTGTTCATCTAGTTTTACTTACCTTAGATGCTTAAGGTAATCTATTTAGTATAATTTTGTTTCCAAAATTATTGTCATTTGCGATAATTAGTACTAAAAGTACTTTGAACAGATCAGCTGCCATTTGCTTGGCTTAATCGTACCAGTCCACAAAAACAGTGAAATCATATTAAAGATACCAATTAAACTTTAAAATTGAGGCAGATGCGATACAAAAAGACTCTATTAATACAGATATACAGGTTACAGTCACCAAGATGAGCTAATTTCAGGCGAGATTCGGGAAATAAAAAGGTATGTCATTCTGGTTTCCAGTCCTCTAAATAATCTATGCTCCGGCTTTCGCCAGAAACTTACTTGACGTCCGTGAATTCATGCAAGATTTGTTCGTGAAAAGTCCCGACGAAAAGTGTACTTGTTTTTGACCTCGCATAATAATGAGCTAACGCTGCAGGGCCGTCGTTGATTGGTCAAATTTTACCGACATAAACATTGAGTCGGTAAAGCACGTGGCTTTCTCTTTGGTACAAGGCGGTCATAATAGAAATCAGATAGTAAAGGAGACCGACTTGGGCAAGGCTAGCTGATATCTGTATATGAAGTATTGAATGATATTTTCATATTGCCCAATAATGACGTCAACAATATAAAGCTCTATTCGAGTGTATTGTCGACTGAGAATACTGAATTCTGGGATAATTTTGAAATTTCATTTCTCGGCTTCAGTTACAGATATAAACTTATTTACAAAACTCGTTTCTGATTTTTGCATATTTACACACATGTATAATGTTGAATATCAATAATAAACAAACAAAAAAAACAAACATAATGTTGAACAGTTTTGGTACAATTTAAAATGTGTTCATTAATGTACAAAAAAATCAATGACATCATTTAAAACTTATCCAGTAGTAGCACCCATATATTGAACCAGACATTGAGATGCCAGAAAACATAGACTGCAGATGTTATTTTCCAAAATGTTGGAGATTTGTTTTCGTTTTGATCTTTCTCCCCTGAAGTATAGGCTCAAAACCATTGTTGCATCACTTAAAAATATCATGTATTTGATGGTATGTTAAAGCAACCAACGGACATTTGGTCAAATTGAACATTGTATACAACATATGAACAAGAACTGTATTCTTGCAAAATGTAACACAGCGCTAGTGTTTATTCTTGTAAGAAACGTGTAAAGAATTTAATAAATAATTCCTGTCGATATGGACAACAGCATCTGCGGTGTATATTGTTGAAATTCCCCAACGTCAAAACTTAAAGTGTGATTGTTCAAATCTCAAACTACTAGTTTCAGTTTCATTTTTGAAGATGGTTTCTGAAAACCATTTTCCTTAGTCTGTTAGTTCATCAAAATGTGTTTTCCAGAAGTTGAAATCAAAAACAAGATAAAGCAGAAATATGTCTCATGACACTTTATTTTATATTATATTATTTTCATTTAGATTACAGGTATTCAATATTAACAATGTTGCTACCTCCATTATAACAATGTTGCATACAGCAGATGTTACATTTCCCTTAGTGTCAAACTGTACCTCCTCACGTAAGCATTGATTTACAAAAGTATTATACAGTACATAAAATAGTAGGTTATAAACCCAATGTGTCACTACTTATCTAGCAAGCTTCCGGCATTAAAACCTCCTGATATTCTCTACCAGCTATACTGTCCATAATATATCTCTATGATATGAGGTGACCTCCACTCTTAAGAAAATCTCATTAAACTTTTAATTTATTTACTAGATTCGAATAATAAATGAGTTAAAATGAGTTGATGTAAGAATGAGTGAACTGCTTATTTTGATTGCTGTGGAAATGGAAATCACCTTTATCTAATGACTACATACTTGATTTATTAGAACACTGCAATTTTCTATACAGTTATTTATTTATCTGTATAGTCTTAGACTAAGGACTATGCCTAAATATCAACTATAGAAAATGTATGTGATTTCATTGTTCATTTGCTTTTCAATCACAATTATAACTTTTCTTCCAAAGATAATCTCAATACTGGGATATCTACAGAGTAATAATTTAAAATTCCAACCCCTCCCTGCTAAACAAATACATTTCAAACAGTTGATATTTTGACATACCTTTTCTTATAATCATACACTGTAACAATTGGTTAATCAACACAGGTTTGGCAGTAATATAAACACCATTCGGCATTCGTGGAATGGTGAATGAATAAGTGTGAGACTTTAATTACAGCAAAACCTGCAAAGTGGAGCCCTCTCAGTTAAAAACCTCTCCATAATGGAAGTTTTTAAAAGAACCAAGTCCCATCAACGTCAATGTTAATGTCCATAAGGAACACCTGTATACATGGAACAAATTTGGTTGGTAAGAAGGGCATATCCACAGTTTAACTGTACGTTAAACTATAGGGAGGCTGCAAAAATACTGGCCTAACAATGGCGTGTTTACCAAGACTAACCATTGTTATCTATAATAGTATTTGTTATATTGTGTTTTTGGGATATTTAGCTCTATGATGTTGAAGATATGTATTTCAATAATTTTTTTGATTTCATTTCGGTGAGTGATATACTGCATCTTTACAACAGTGTGAAAGGCACCTTGGAAGTTTGAGCTTTGATTGACAACATTTTCTAACGTTACCTACACTAGACAAATGTACGAGCCTAATTGTTTATGAAGTGATGCCATTCTAAGGAAAATCAATTGATCTCAAAATTTGGAAATTATCATAATGATATGGAGCTTCTATTAGTATATGGCTAATAATAAGATAAATGTCATGTGAAATTGAGTTAAATAATTATTTGCTCTACAATGCCCTGTTTGGTGTGGTATAATGGTTATACTCAGAGGATAATGATGTATATAAAACACAACCTTTGAGGGGCATGCATTCTGCACCTCTGCCTACCTTAGTAGGTCATGATGTATCTATCAGGTTTCACCATGGGATCAATTCTTTAAATCAAGGTAGGCCTACATCACAAAACCAAAGATCCCCACCTTACTGACACTGTATAATGGACAAGGATTTAAAAACCCAACCAACATTCCCTTGTATGTCTATTACAACAGCACTGATACACTCAGGTTATGGATTCAAACACCATTAATAGATGGCATTGGAATCAGTGGTTTGTTTTATATATCAAGATGTATAAATTACATCAAATATGGCCATTAATAAAACCATTCAAACATTTAAGAAATTAAGTGAACAATTGCAAAAATTGGTGTTAGTTTGCTTTATATGGTTTAAGTTAATAAACAATAAACATTTACACATAACCCGATGAAACATTTAAAAACAACCATGGGTGACAACAAGTGAACTGCCATCTATAAAAAGGCCTTATAAACTCAATAGTGCACAATGATGTAGAGAATTGTCCCCAAGTTAGTGATTATTCATAAGTGAACTTCTATATCATACAATTTATACAGCAAGACATTACAGCCATTCATTATGGAATATAAATATTCATACATTTTTACATCATTTTAGTGTGTTGCATAATATACCCTTGTTATAAAGTGACTACAATAGATATTATACAATATTACAATTATACAATATTACAAATGTGCACCAATATCAGGTTATCTTTCACATTGCTCTACACTCCTTTTCACAACAAACTTGACAATCACCATCGATTTTTGGCAAGTTTTGGATGATTGGTTTAAAACAGTAAAAAATACTGATAATTAATATTCAAAGAGATTATCGGGTATATGGGCCTTCTGTGTACATTGTAAAACTTACTTTCAAAAATGTGAGGACCACTGAAAAAGGTACTACAGTATATGAATGTACTTCAACAGTACAGTGTTTATAATACATAATGGTTATGTACTTAGAGGTTTGGAATATATGTGTCTCTTGAGGAGGTGAATATATAAAAGTAAGTTCATGAAGTACCTACTTGTTGCCTTTCATTTTGAAATACTGAAATGTGTTAATTGTGTTTTCTAAAATGGAGGAGTAGTTACAGATATTTCTATATGTCCACAGCCCTAGAGATAAGGGAGAAGATACAGATAATATCCATCCCTCTCCATAGATACAGTATATATTTCAACATGTCATCTTCCTAGAACCCCAGTAGGTATTGGATACTTGAGATTGTTCACATAAACATATTTTACTTGACATTCTAAATACTGAACAGTTTGAAACAACATCCAGACCACATTATTCCTTGATTGGGAACAATATTATATACTGTACTTTTTGCATAAAATACAACATACATGCATAAAATATAACATATAAAATATAAATTGTCGATCAATTAAAGGTGAAGTCTTTACCATTGGAAAGTAAAAGTGAAGAGGTCTATCAGTTCTACTTCCATAAATTAGTATATAACTTACTTTTGTCTTCTACACTGTACCCCAAGACAGGGGGTGCTCAAAATGTTTGGTACTTGTACATCCAGATTGTTATTTCATTTGGATACATTAGGCATAGGATTGAATAGTAAATGGTGTCTGTTTTATTGGTATAATATTTGTACTTAAATATAATGGTTGTTTATTTTTGTGTTTACATGTGTTCTCCTGCACCGGTACACATCTAGTCCTAGCTCTTTGGAGGCTTCATATTGGGTGGAAGTGTCGCAGATTTAGAGACGGGGGATGATAGTTGCTTCTGAGGTAAATTAAATGATGTGTATTGCTTGGCTCCCCTCGATGGCATAGGACTGAAAGTACAACATAAAGCTACAGCACACCACCCGAGAGAGCACACCTATAGACCTCACCTATAGCACACCTGCATTGAGTACATTATGTGCTAGGATGTTCACCATCTTTTACAGATGGCAAGCAATGTTACGCCTGTGAGAGCACAATCATAAGAACTGTGGCTCATAACAAGAGAGTACATAGGTACATAGCTTTAGAAGCAATGGCTGATCACAACAACACCTAAAATTGCTGCAACTTAATGGATATTGATCAATACTTCCTGGCCATGTGCATCGTGTGCAGTGTCAAAGCCATGTGCATGTGGAGACATATAGGACAAGTGTCCCAGTCAGTTCGCTATCCCATTGAACTAGCATCTTGGGAGTTTGTGCGAGGTAGCCCTCCAGAGGAGGGGGTGTACTTGTTTGAAGATGGTTGGAGAGTGAACGAGCTGAATTGTTTACTCCCTCTCGGACCCATAGGACTGCAAAATAAAACACAAAGCAATGGTAACTATGACAACCACCAAATTGGGTAACAAACCACTAACGTAACCCCAAGTAAGACAAATGAGTAGCAAAGGCAGGTGGATCGATCTGCTCGTTTTTCATTGCACATAAAGCCCATGTTAATCCACAGTAGCATTTAATGCACCACCTGCCTCTATAACCAAGGGGAAAACTTCACTTATAAGAGATAACATCACACATTGTTTCTTATTATCATTTGTCAACATCACATGAAAGTTAGATTAGATTGTACAATGTTGCCACACGTCACACCTGCACTATTACCACAAATGACATTATTATACAAAAACAGAAAATAAGAATCTACAAAAACAACAAAAAAGGCTCACATAAATTGCAAAGCTAATAGTTGAACTACAACTTCATGCAAAATCATAAGGCAATCAAAATTATCAAACTATCCATAAAATCATAGAGCACATTTTAAAATAACATTAGAGAAAAGCTGGGTATAGTAGGGTGGGGTTGAAATACTTGGGGTAACAAAAAATAGTGGGTGCAGTAGAAATTGTAGCATACATGTGAATATTTTCTAGATTAGTTCTACATTGTAGATCTGCTATTTAATTCCCAAGCTAATTGATGATACTTAGTACATCATTATAAAGAAGTGCATGGAGAAAACATTCACTGTGCAATGGTACAATTTCCTTGGGTTGTCATAATACATACATCTGGTACAAAAAGTACATTCCGGTCATTCATACATTTTTCTACCAGATGTGTATGTGCTGTCACCATAACTTTGACCTATTAATTGTGTGTTCATTGAGAATCATGTCATGCTTGGTGCACTAAAGCGTAAGACTGGATTAAAGTCATAGGGTCAAGGTCCCACATCCACCCACCTAACAAAACAGAACATATAGAACATTTAAGGAATTTAAAATTAAAAAGACAATAAAAGATAATATGAAAATATATAATCCATCACCATTAAATAATAACAATATTATAATTATCGATTATAACTCTCTAATAATTCCATTCTTAATCATAATACAGTACCAAGTAATCTCTTTTACCAAACTCCAAATCAAATCAGAAATGTTACCTGCACCTTTCAATGTAATATTGTGTATACATGTACTTATGAAATATTTAGTCATCAACTAACTACAATTATTTAGCTTATTCTAGGTGAAATGCATTAGTAGCCAGGACAAGCATGTCGATGAAGCATCTGACAAATTTTTAGTGTCCAGGAAATTTGTTCTCTCAAACAAAATTCAATTCTATCCCTGAGAGAATTCCAAAGAAGTGATGAAAAAATAAAGATTTTGTTAAGAAAAGTTTTAGTTATTTGTACGACCAATTTCAGGCCTTTTCAGTTTTTCACAATTTTTCAAACACGAGGAAAGCTAGCAGCCCTCCCTTGCTGATAGGTCTGCAGACACCTTATGTTTCCTGGCTACTAATAAAAACACAACTTATGCTATAAAACTACTGTATTATACTGACACTGACTGCATGCAACTGACCCTGGACAATATCATAACTTCAGTATAACCTGTACACAGATAGAACAAAACTCTGTTACAATTGATAAATGACTTGTAGATAAGTGAAGAATTAACAGCTATAAGATTCATGAATATTTATTTCTGATGTACTAAGCTATATCTGTTAACTTTTCAGCATTTAATATTTGGTGAATGAATGAAAAAGCTCAATGAAAATTTCAAGATCCGTCTAAAATGTAAATCACACATGAAATCTACCCCTTTACTCCGCATATTATAAGCTGATTAAACACTTTAACCAAAACCATGTGACAGATATTCCAAAGATGAAATGTTCAATTTAAAATGCTTCCATAATGCCCCCCCCCCTTCCCCACTACAACTGTGACTACCATCTTTATTTTGCTACATATCTTCCATATATGTTTTCCCCAATTATTTTTAGATGATGACCTTTGATGTGCAACTATCTACTCATGCAATGTTAAGACACTGAGAATCAATACAAAACTAAAGCTGACCATAATATTGTATTTTTTAGTATTGTGATGGAACATGGATGAGCCATGTATGTATAGCCTGTATCGAGATTCAAGAACAAATAAAATGGTATCATATATTGAAAGAACCTTGAAAGGTGATTGCCATATAGAAATTCAAGGGCAGTTATACAACAACAAAAATATGGAATAATTGGCCTATCATATAACAATGAAATTAAACAGGACCCTAGATTTATTATCTAACTTTTCTCCATTTGCAACTTAAAATGAGTCCTTCCTCATGTCTGTTTGCATAAGGGGGTTACACAAGGCTATCCAGGGTCCCATGAGGTAACTTGTTATAATAAAGCTACACATAAAGCTTCAGTTGATGTTTTATCTATTATAAATTACTATTAAAGTTGATATTTTAATTACCATAAAATTTTACAGCATTTTATTTAAAGCAGTGAAATAAGCTATGAGTGGGGCACATGATGCAATTTATGTCTTAGTAATTAATGAATTACAGGCTATACACACATGCTAAGAGAAGGGAGCTAAAGAGTATTAAAACAGGTATTTAGCCCCCACAGTCAAGGGTGGGTCTTATTTATCTATCTACCTTTGTTTTCTCTCAGCATTTGACACACGCCGGCTAGAATTAATAATAAACACATGCATGTCAGTAATAAAAACCAATTATAACTAAATATATAAATCAACAATAAGAACCTATGGAAATAAGTTAGTAAACTACTTTTAATATTAACAATCTAAAATACTCAAAACTGAAAAATATCACATTAGTATGGGTTGATATCATTTTTATTGTTGATATCTCATTCTGCATGAGTACACACAATGACCTGTCATACAATTGTAATTAACAGATTTTCTATCCTGATCTATAATGATAGCCATATATGTATAAATATCACATAACATGCATCTAATTTGTGTTTTACAGCATCATGCAGTAGCTGTGCATACAGAATACAGTAGTGTAGGAAAAGAAACAGAACATGCAAATAAACATGTGTGAAAGATTTTATCCATCCAACTCCAACACCCGTATGTATATACATTTCCACTATTTTTGACATTTGAAGGCATCATAATATCATCTAAACCATGCACAAATAGCATCTTAATATTCCACGAATAAAAGCTCTTGTCTAGAGCTCCTATACCTTTATGGCCAGCTGTCACAGCAATGTAAATTGGGTTCAATTTTTATGGACCAATTTCAGCCTTCCTACACTACTAGTATTTATGCTCAAGCAGACACATGCAAAATTTCAAGATAAATGCCAGCAACTCATTGGGAGCAATAAAGCAGTAAATTCATATTACTCCTAGGATTCCTTTAATTGATAGTTAATAAACTGAGAAACATGCATTCACATAAATATACAGTAAAACCTGTATTTAGTGAACATCCATGGCACCACAATAAAAAAAAAATGGTCACTACAGAGAGGGGATCTGATACGGGAGTCAGTGTAAAATGTGTCTTGAAGTTGTGTTCACTAAAAACAAGTGTTCACTGGAGAGAGGTGTTCACTAAAACAGGTTTTACTGTAATACAAATTGATTAAAGGTTGCTCTATATACAAAACAACAGCATAATAAATTTATCATATTTGATAGACAACCAAACAGAAATGCAGCATACATGTAACTTTCATTTAAAGGATTTTGCAGATGTGGCATTTATCTTGGAATAAACATGATCAAATAACATCAAGTATACAAGATATTTTGTGGCAATAGTGACAATAAAACATATATTAATTTTGTTACTTCAATATTTCTAATATTTTTGTGTTTACCTAATAAGTGAAAAACAGGATATTAGCAATAAGGTGCTAACAGCTATAATTCACTAACAATTTTTTTTATTAAGGTACAAGTATGTTTTTCACTTTTGGAATGTGTCATACAGCTCACAGGGTGAGGAGTTTTTCAAGCTTTGATATTTCAAAAAGCAAGATTGACTGAGATGGTTGTGTTAGTTACATGTCCATGTCATGAATTCAAAATATTTTTAGTATGAGAACGAGAAAACAGCAACTCCATGGAGTACTGTATCAAATCCCACCAAACAAAACATGTTTTTTAACAAATAGCTGCTATCTAGAAATTTTTTCTTGAACAGAGCTCCTTTATCCCTAGGTATCAGCATATAAAATTTGAACCAAATCTGTCAACTGGTATTTGAGTTATTGCCAGGACAGACAGACAGACAGACAGACAGACAGACAGATGGACAAACAGACGAATAGTCAGACGGATGGCTTCTCTATATCCCTCTCGAACTATGTTCGGTGGGATAATTACAGCTAATTTAGCCCTTAAACTTTTACTATTTAACTTTACTGTAATACTAATATAATTTAGCCAAAAGAAAGGAAGCACACAATTACCAAATGAGCAAAACCACACAATTTTAACCAAACAAACAAATGATGACAGGGGCTAAATAAGAATGGACCTTTACTCCACAGATCATTCACAGTGCTATACTACTAGGCACATATTCAATAATCCTCTTCAAGTTCACATTGCAACATGCGGATTATGCAGGGGGTGAAACTTCAAGAAAAGTAAGGGTGAAAACAGTTCAGAAAATAAAGTACATGCATAGTCTAGTCATTATATTGAATGCCATAATGGTACAATAGTTTGATATTAAGTGTGCTTTGAATGCTTTTTATATTATTTATATTGTACAAATATCAGTTATACCCTATAGAGGAAATCCAACAAGGAGTACCATAAATGGGCCTGTTTTGGTTTCAACATGCCAACAAGCATGAATGCGAAATTCAGTAAGATTTTAAGTTTTCCATAACTAACCAATTTTGAATCAATTATATAATTTTGGTATACACATGCATAAATATCACATCTGAAAGTCTAAGTATTGGCAAAATCCTCAATATCGGGCCTCCTAGACTATCATCAACGCAAACATCAGTTCTGACCTCGAGAACTACGATCTCTGTTCGCGAGTGGAGAAATATGTTCAGGGGCGAAGAAATGGTGGTGCGCGACTAAAGATTTCACGTCCGTGATGTGAGAATCGTTTCGCTGCAAGGAACGTAGTTCATAGGTCAGAACTGATGTTTGTGTCGATTGAAGTCTAGGAGGCCTGAATATGATTTGTAAATTAGTTACATATCAATGGCAATTACTTCCTGTTATCATATTATGTGACAAAAAAGTTATGTCATAGAATGTTAGGTAAGACTCAAGGTTTCGTAAGCAAGACATACTAATGCAATTGTGAGCACTTAAAAATATGATTGATGTTTAAACTATATCCAAGTTAATCATGAAGAAAAATCCTACTAAACATCACATTTTGGCTTATTGACTTGTTCCTGAAACATACCCGTGAATTGTAACTTCTGAACGGAGTTCCTCAACATTAAGATAACGATTAATATTTAAGATAAAAGGGAGATAAAGTTCTCTGTGTCTCATATCCCAACTTCAAACATTTCCATGTGCCAACGAGCTTGCCCATGTGGAATACAGGAGTGCATTCCTTGAGGGTATGTATTTTACAACACTGGAATTAGGTCACAAAAGGGCACATTTGATACCTGTGTTATGATGGTTATTATAAAATTTATTTATTAATCAAACTGTTACGTAGCTGTAAAATTAATTGGGTATAAAATGCCATATTAACTAGATGCTGTTATTATACCATTATTATTATTAGCTGACTGGTTGACAAAGATACCAAACTTTCCAGAGCAAAATGTTTATGGAGTCAAAAAGCAGTATGGCTTCAACATCAAACAAAACACTCAAATATCCTGTACAATATTCGATCAATCTAAAGTGTATGTCAAAAGATGTGAAAATTCAAATCACCTTGTTTTTGATATTATCATGATATTTAGTAATAAGATATAGTTATAAGAATGTTGAACTATTTTGGAAAACTAATTTTCACAGCAGAATGGGACGTTTAAAATGATTATAAAATATGATTTCTTAACTTCAATATATTTAGCTTTAAATTATATTTGTTATCTACTACTCAATACCTTTGACTTGAATAGACAATATTAAGCCATATTTTGAAGAGATCGATCTCACAATGGCCAATTTGGATTTTACAAGGCACGATAAAAAAAAAACGATATAATATCTGCAATTAATTTTGAAATACCTTAAAATTAAAAATGACTTCTTTAGTCTTCACACAAAATTAATGCCATTTTGGATGAGGACAAAAAACATCATATCAAATCAACAACAAAAAATTTTCTCTGGTTATTATAGATCCTTATCAAAGTCAAATTAAAGATGACGTCTTTCTTGACACACATTAAAGGTGAGACACAATAGTACAAGATAGAACAAACGACAACTTGATGAGAGTGACATGATTTGGACTCTTTTGTCAGTGTCTTAGGCCATACAACAGCATCCATTAATATTTGTCAGTGAAACTAGTTACTAGTTATTAGCTTGCTGGTCATTCAATATAAATGACTAGTCTAGGAAAGGCATGTACCGTGATTCCTCAGCCAGGTTCATAGGGAGGACACATTTTTGTCCTCCTGGGCTCATTAAAAGCTCATTTAGCAACCACCTGTTAAACAAATCAAATCATATGTTACAATTAAGACACCCGAAATTGATGCAATGATAGCAAAGACCTGAGGGCATGATAGTGATGGTGATGATTTCATTTATTCTTCAAGACAATTTATTATTCAACTTTTTTGATATTTCAACCATGAGGTATCAAGTAACAAAATAAGCTTCAATGAAAGATTAAACCAAACAAACAATAATGTATTTAAAGCAAGGGTTTTCTGTTGTTGATAATGTTGATGTGACAGACACAAACAAAACCAGAACAACGGCAACGCCAAAGCGTAGCGAATCCCATCGAACAGATATGGATGGCATTTTTACAAACAAAGGATATAGCAAAAATGGCAGCAATTTTCAAAATGGCCGCCTTCTACCAAAAGTGTCATTAGACCATGTGCCATGCTTATAGTATTCACATACCAAATATGAACAAAATCGCTCCACTACTTTTCAAGTTATAGAAAAATATGTTAAAATGGCGGCCATTTTTCAAAATGGCCACCTTCTACCAATTAGACAGTGGGCCGTGCTTATAGTATTCACATACCAAATATAAACAAAATCGCTCCACTACTTTTCAAGTTATAGAAAAATATGTTAAAATGGCGGCCATTTTTCAAAATGGCCACCTTCTACCAATTAGACAGTGTGCCATGCTTATAGTATTCACATACCAAATATAAACAAAATTGCTCCACTACTTTTCGAGATATAGTAAAATACGTTAAAATGGCGTCCATTTTGAAAAATGACCGCCTTCTACCAAAAGTGTCATTAGACAGTGTGCCATGCTTACAGTATTCACATACCAAATATGAACAAAATCGCTTCACTACTTTTCGAGTTATAGTAAAATACGTTAAAATGGCGGCCATTTTTCAATTTTTTTTTCAAAATGGCCGCCTTCTACCAAAAGTGTCATAGGACAGTGTGTCATGCTTATAGTATTCACATACCAAATATGAACAAAATCGCTCCACTACTTTTCGAGTTATAGTAAAATACGTTAAAATGGCGGCCATTTTTCAAAATGGCGGCCATTTTTCAAAATGGTCGCCTTCTACTAAAAGTGTCTTTAGACAGTGTGCAATGTTTATAGTATTCACATACCAAATATGAACAAAATCGCTCCACTACTTTTCGAGTTGCAGCAAAAATCGTAAAATAACGAGTAAAGACCGCCATTTTTCAAGATGGCTGCCATGTGCTTCTTTAATATCTACATTTCTAGCTTTATCAATGTCCTATATAATTTTTTTATATCTAAAACATATTGCTATTACAGTTTTACATATTGCACCTAAATTACTGTAAATTCGGCACTAAAATGGCCGCCATTTTGAAATGAGCGGCCATTTTGAAAATCGGCTTTCGAGCAGAACTTCTACTCCCATAGGGTATATGTGTACAAAATATGAACAAAATCGGACCAACGGTATTCGAGTTATTGCCCGGACGGACGGACGGACGGACGGACGGACGTACGGACGGACGGACGGACGGACGTACGTACGTACGGACGGACGGACGGACGGACGGACGGAGGCGTTCCCTATATCCCTCCGAACTTCGTTCGATGGGATAACTATTAATGATAATAAGGATAAAATGATAAGCCCATTACATTAATTTGTGAAAGGATAATTATGAAGAAACATGATAATTATTTGACAATTAGGATAATAACAATATAACAAAAAAATAATGGATAATTTATCATATAACAAAAAGCAACTTAATTACTGGACCAGGGATGTGATTTTTGGGCTCATTTGGTGTTAGTGTCACAAGATAGGCATCAAAAGGAGCTGACTTGTGCCTCTTACAATACTCACCCTGCCTTGGGATCAATCCCCTTTTTGGAAATCTTTTTACTTAATCTTTGGAGCCATAATTTCTGTTCTTCAGTTGATCCTGCTAGAAGAAGGAGTTCTTTTGCTGACTGGGCATCAAAGTTTACTGAAATTAAAATAACGTTTGCAAATAAAGACAAAATCACCAGGAATTTTACAAAATGTCCGCACACCCTAGTTTTCTGTGATTCTACATTGCCGCAGAAAAATGCAGAATATTGGTACTCAATTTTTTTGCAGTATTGATTATTGACATGGAATTTGGTGCGTAATTTGGGATTTCATGCAGAATCTGACTTTTTCTCATGCAGAAAACTAAGATGTGTGAATGTCTGATACATAGCCCAATCTGGTAAATTGAACACATCAGATCAACATATTTCTAATATTAATGCATCAAATGCAGTGGACTCCAGCAGAACTGCCATTGAATTGAAAAACGATCAGATGTTACAGTTATGAAAACTGACCATGAACATAAAACAGTATCTTTCACCATATTTTACACTAATGTTTCAAATGTATGCATAATCACAAGACACACTCTCCAGAAAGTCCAACATGACATACACATAACCCAGGATGTCTGTGTTTATGATACATGTATTTCATTAATAAGGTCAAACACATATTACTAACCTTTACATGGTCCTACAAATTCTTCATTCTTATCAAAATGATCTTTATGCACCTTTATTCTACAACCTGCAAGCAAAAAGAATACAGGATCAATATAAAATATGAGTTACAGATTTCTAACTAATTTCAAATCTAATATATGTAACATATAGTTTAAACACAACTGAACAATTTGAGCTTACAAAAGACAAGAACAAGAACAAACTCATTGACTCTCTGAGAATGAACTAATGTGATTGATTTCAAAGTACACTATTGTCATTTCAATGTCCAAGTGACTAAACATTTTGACAACACTTCTATTGGAGATGACTCGGACTTGGTGGCTTACGTTTGCATTCAAGTGCAGCTGGAGGATGTAGCATGTGCCAGACTGGTTTACTGCAGGAGTCACATGTGGTGGGGGTGCGGAAGTGAAGAGGAAGGAAATCATGGCCCTTGTAGGAGACAATACCAGCTTTCTCCTTTTCCTGAAATGTACAAACGCAACATTGAAGTTAGCTCACTATTAGAGCAAGCAGTCAAAGGATGGGAAGGTGTATACATGTATGATTATATTATTGGCCCTTCAGGTCAATGTACTGTTTTTGAAAACATCAATCACTGTTGGGATCTTTTGGTATATGTGGTAGGTAATATGAAATGTTAACTGACCATTGCAAGTTGGGCTGCTGCTTCTATGGAGGCTTGATCCTGCTTCTTGTTTTCTCCCTCGGTTGCGTATAAAATCTGGAAGATTCTAGGGATGTCCTTTGCCTCAGCCCTGTACACGTCACCTTGGGTTACTGTCCTTATATGGAAGATTTTGCTGAAAATAAATACAATGCAATATATTCTCTGATCAATCTAATACAACTGGCTTTGCCAACCTTTACATAGTTGATAACAATGCTGCATCCATTTGATTTCACTAACCATACAAGGCATTAATATGCTAAATGTCACCTTCACCACCTGCCATTTGTTACAATTTCCGACCATGGAACACCCAACACCATCCACAAAAGTTGGAGACAATATGTTATCACTTCTGATGGTGACATAAAACTAGAACTGCTGGACAGATAACCATGTTGTAAAGGCCTAGCCAAAGAATGTTAATGTTAAGTATACTGGAAAAGACCATACTTACTCTAAATCTAGGACCATGACAGGATCAGCATTCTGTTTGTCACTCTCAGAATTGTAGAAGAGAATCTTCCTAGTACTGACCACAACATACTGTTTTCTCCAGCCATATCTCTTAATATTCTGCTTGTTAGGTACTGCTAACCAGCCTTCAAGTGGACTCTCCATTTTACCTAAATTCAATTCATTAATTCTCTTAGCTTTTAATTATACACATGTAACATTTTAATTCACCCAGGTTTACATAGAAAAGTGAAACATGTGGAGAATATGGCTTGCACAAGTTTGTGAGATTTAATATCACGCACGTTGGCTCCTAGATATATACCTGTCATGTCCTCACTATCGTTTTCAGTGCCACTACTAATGGATGCTGTATCACTGTTGTTAAGTGCAATTTTTTGTCTCAGTTGTTCAATTTCACTGTCCTTGGCATCTAACTCCATCTGCAGTCTCCTGCAACTTTGTCCCTCCTCATACAGGGTGGCCTGCATCTCAGACAGACTCTGTTGGAGCTTAGCAACCATTTCATTGAACTTCACTTTTTCCTGTGATAAAAGAATAAAATATTGAGTAGCACGTACTACACAACCTTAAATAATGAACTATTAATATTTCTATCATTACATGATCTTTGTCTTTTTTATTTATAATTTATGTTTCAATGTCTGTCTATGCAATTCTAGGTTATTTATTTTCAATTCATATTAATCACATTTACAATTAAATGTTTCCTAGCCTCATAAAAATTAGCTCTAAACCTTATGAAACTCATAATATAATGTACAATATATTTGAATCCTATTTTACCTGGTTTAGTTCCTGTTGTATTTTTCTATTTTCTTTCTCTTTCTTCCTGAGTTCTGAAGATGCTACTTTGCTCCCCTTATTCTTGCCACTGTCACCTCCTTTCCTGGCCATTATCTCAGCTAGCTTGTTCACAGCCTATAACAACCATGGGATTCAGGCAATGAAATGGTATCAAAACATGAATAGAATGAATGCCAAAACAGAATTGACTTTGGTGGTGTGAGGAGGGAATCTGAGTTCTGTTTAAAATTCCAACTTTGCACTTAAATTACGTCTAATATGTCACTAATTTTGAAACATGTAATCGTCCCTCTCACAAAATATTATATTGAATAACAAAAGTGGAATAGTTATAGGCTCACTGAAATATTCAAAGACACAAAAATAGCCTCATCTGATGGAAATGATAAATGTTTGTAAAGTTTACAAAACCTACCACTTCTTTCTTCAACTTCTCCTCCAGGTATTGCTTTTTAAGTTTTTCATTTTCTACATCACTGCTTGTTCTATTGGACTGCACATTTTCAAGATCTGCAAAAGACAACAACACTGCAATAAGATTGAAACAATTGAAAATTGAAATAAATTCATTCGAAACAAACAGACAATTCAAGCAGAACTTAACTTACACATGTATATGTATTACACCAGGAAGAAGATAACTCAATCATAATATTAATATTTAGCTTTCAGGAATCAAAAGATTTTCAACCGATTTTTACTTTTGCTTTTAATGCATGCACCGTTACTGTACTGTAAATGTCTTAAGATGACAATATATGTCCCCTACCTTCTCTGAGTTTCTTGACTTGACTGTTGAGGTCATCATTCTGTTGTTTATAATTTTCAACTTCTTTCTTGCTTTGGTTTTTACAATCTTCAAGCTGTGGGCAAAGAAATAATGATGTACATAATCAGATATACAAACTTTCTCGAACTATTCAAAACAAAAATCTTCCCTGAGTAGAGGCACAAAAGTGTATGTATCATGTTAGCCATAAAACATGAAACTATTGCAGGGTGAATACTATAAATCAAGAAAATTGGCATTATATATAAACTAAAACTTCTGTCTAACAGAGAATGTGGACTCACGATTGCTATTGCAGTTTCCCTCTTGTTAAGTTCAGTCTTGTGACGAGATAGGATTTCTTTAATTTCTAAATCTAACATGGTTTTTTCTTTTTCTACATCAGAGAGTTGTTCCTCTGCTATGGTTCTAGCTATCTGTTCACTGTCTGCCTTTGTCATTGCTAACTGTAGCTGGGCTGCTATTGAATCCCTGCAACGCAAACACTTACACATCAATAAAGGCGGATAAATTGCACATAAATAAAAAATATTTAAAATGAAGCGAGGGAATAATAGTAAAATTTCACAAGTTATCAATACTTATATCAACACAACTTGAAATACTTACCAAGGGTATAATATATTTTTCAAATGTACATGACATTTATTTCATACTAGATCAAAAAATATCAAGATAACAAGACTTTTAGAAATCAATAATTCAAAAATCATTACCTTTCTTTTTCTAAATTCCTGATGTCTATCTCTAATTCAGAATTTTGTTGTTCTCTCATTTCTAATTCTTCTTTTAGTTCTTTTACTTGTGTTTTGTATAATGTCTGGAATCATAGAAATACACTTAATACCAGGAGCAAAGCCTACTGTTACTGCATACACAATAAACTTTACTAACAACTGGAAAAATTGATTTTAGCTTAAATAAGTGTTCACTATCTCGGCCATAACAGGACTAAAACCAGGGAAGTTCACGTTTTTACATTGCTTGTTTTCTAATGCTGACCTGTGTCTTTCACTATATTGCTCATATTGAAGTGGAGGGATCATACACAAGGTAACAAGATGTTTCATCCCTTGGATATTTCACCTCAACTGTCCAGCCCTTAGATATTTCATCCCCTGGATGTTTCACCCCCAAGATATTTCACCCCTGGAGTTTTCATCCCTTAGACATTTCCCCCTGAAATTTTCACCCCTTAGACATATCACCCCTGGACATTTTATCCCTTAGACATTTCACCCCTGGACTTTTCACCCCTTAGACATTTCACCCCTGGGCGTTTAACCCCTAAACTTCTCATCCTAGACATTTAGCCCCCATATATATGTGATTTATGGTATACTTAGGTAAACAATATGAATGTACTCACAGAAAAATACTGCTCTGCTTCATACTGGTCATTCAGCTCTTTCATCTGGAGTTCATTTGCATTGTAAGAGCTGAAAGAATAAACCAAATGTAAAACAAGCCAGCTAAGTAAAATGACAAGTTATGAAAAACATTTTAATCGTAAGAGCTATTAAAGAATAAACCAAATGTAAAACAAGCCAGCTAAGTAAAATGACAAGTTATGAAAAACATTTTAATAATGTTGATAATAATTTGTCGATAAATAAATAATATGTAATTGTAATGAGTCTGGTACTTATAATGACAAGTTATGAAAAATATTTTGATAATGTCGATAATAATGTGCTTATAAAAGTGGCGATTATGACGAGGAGTGAGGTGACAACACTAAAACTCGAAGCCACACAGGTTGAGAGCTTCGGATTGACCAGAACCGATTCCCGAATTGATGAATCTATTTCACTTTGGGCCGAGCAAAATTGGAGAAAAAAACATGCACATTGGACAACACGCTATATGAATGTTTAAATGAAAGAAAGAAGATGTGTGCAATGAAATCGGAATAAACAAAAAGTGTTTTTCATTTCAACCATTGTTCAAAAATATGAACAATTTTTTTTGAAGAATCACCAGGTTCACAACCCGAATAGGAGTCGTAGCATGAATCATCATTTCTCTAACCCGAATAGAACCCAACCCAAATTGAACCCAACCCAAAACACTTTTTTCAACCCGTCTCATCCCTACTTGTGACAAATAGTTTGTAATAAACAGTCACATTATTTATAATTAAGGAATTATTTGCTACACATAAAGAGTTGTACATATTAATGAAACTGATAATTTGAGACACCTAGATATAATAACAATGCAATATCTGAAGCTGTAATATGCAAATTATCACTTCACTTCATAAACTTACTCTTGTAAATTTTTGAGAGACTCTTCTAGAGTCTTCTTTGCATTCTTCATGTCTTGCAGTTCTTTCTGTGTGAACTTATCTTGAGACTTGATCTGTGTGATTTGCTGCTGGAGAGCTTTCATGTCACTTTGGAGAAGGTTCCTCTTCTGAACCGCTTGGTCCCTCTGTAAGCCGAGGTTCTTGTTCTGGAAGCAAAGTGTATTACGTCATGTACATATACATTGCAATACTAAAAAAAATACATAGGCTCATCATTTGTTTTACCTTACCGAACATTAAATTACATTACTACCAACTCAATGTTCAATATTTTTCTTGTATCAAAATCTAACTTTTTCATATCCCCCTTAATTTTAAAAATGGCATGAAGCGCAATGATAATTGATCCACAATTTAACCAGGTAGCTTCATAATGGAGTGAAATCACAGTGCTCAGTGCCGGAACATTGGATTGCTTATTTGATGACAAATCGCTCCTTCAAAGCAGTCAGTTGAATTAATTCCTCTGTTCATTCATATAAATTATGTAGTTAGTATGAATACTGATTGATAGCACATTTTAGGCTAATGAGACACAATTCCTCTTTTTCTCCAATTCAAGATATTTCATAGGAAAAAGCTTGACTCAAATTGTCCTCTCTTACCTTGTCATGTTCAGTTGTGATATCTGCCTCTAGTGAGGTGACTTTCTTCTGTAGCTGACTGAGGTCCACAGACATTTCATTGCAACGTTTCTCAGCCTCCAATAAGTGGTACTCAGCTTTCTGTCTATTTTGCACTTCAGAGTCTAGCTTGCCTTGGATTTCTACAAAACATGACCACGGATTATACTTTTATGTGAGGTTATAAACCAATTGTAAGTAAATACATTGTTGTATAAACATGTAATTCTAAGTTAAGCCAACTGGGAGACAGTTTAAACTGAAATGGACATCACTGTCCTTCTATTGGAACCGGCCTTACAAAAGATTTATTTCTTTGCATTTTCCAAAAATGATGCAATTTTGAAATCACAAATGCGGGAACATTCTTTAGTCCCGCTCCCAATAAACATCTTTACGTCCATTGAATCACTGACCTCTGACAGCTTCAATATTAGCCTCCTCAGTGGACATGAGTATATGTTTTTTATCAGCATTGAATCGGGCGATGGTTTCTTTATGAGCTCTCATCTCCTGGTCATGTTTAGCTTGATAGGTGTTCCTCTCTAGTTCAACGTTAGCCTTAGACTGGAAAAAACAGTATTGTTCAGATTTGAAATTTACTCCAAAAATTTGTCAAAGCAAAGTTTCATATGAAATCAAAACGTTATATTGGTCATTAGCATAATTGTCTAAAAGTAGTTCAGATGAAATTGCTCGTGATACTAGTGTTTTATCACATACTAAATCAAACTTAATTCTGGAATGGAATATTCTGGAATGTAGATGTGTACCTTTTCTAGATTGACAGTTGTCTGTCGGAGACGCTCCAACTCTGCTTGAGTCTTGATTGCTTGTTGTTTGAGTTCTTGCACTTTGTTATGGAGACTGTGATTCTGGTCTAAAACAAGTACATTATGCTTAGTCGCAAGGTCATTACAAATTAGATGTTTAATAGAGATGTCATTCAAAAACCCTCTTTGTCAAACTTCAAATATTTTCAGGGTCTCAACAAAAGTTTTCTTTCATTTTTTTCAATAATAGTGTAATAAGACATTTGGATGACAAAATGTCACGATCTGATTACACAAAATTGGTTACAAAACTGTAGCAATTTGTTAACAACACCAAACACTAAACAGCCAATTAACTTGTTGGGACCTAGATGGAAACTGCTTTATGAGACTGAGGTACTACTAGAGTGCATTTATACAGTTGAGTAATCGATGACAAAAAAAGTTGTCATATACATCTCATAATCATCCAGTATGTGATTAGTATAGTTATTCGAAATGCACAGGGCTGTCATCAAGGCATTTTTACTTACTTTCTAGATCATGTATATGGTCTGAATTGTGTGACCTCGCATTTCTCTCACTATCTAAGGCCTGTTGTAGTCCTAGTAGTTCCTGCTCTAGGGATGATTTGCCACTAATTGTTTCATTATACTTTCCCTGGATATCCTTGTAACTCTGCTCTACCAGGTTGTATCTCTAGAAAAATATACTGAGTTTAGTGTTTATTCAGAAAGACATTTTCAAGAGGATTTATTAAATTATTGGCTTAAAAATTATGAAATACTTTCCAGATGCAATTTTTGTAAGGTTATAAGGAAATTACTGGTTTATTGGTATTTTGTTGCTTGTCAAACGATCGGTTTCTTGGACCTTGGTTCTAAGTGGATCTAATAAAATAACAATTGAATATGGTGCTGCTCTTTCTCATATACTGTAGATAGATAATTTAGATTTAAAAAAAAAACTTTTGCATATCATTTGGAATAGGAGTGTTATCAACACTGAGCTCATGTGCCATGATTTACACAGCATTCTAGTTTGAATATACTTCAGATGGACATCTTTTTAAAACTAACCTGTTGTAAATCTGAATATGATTTCTTGATCTTTGAACCGGATTCAGCCTCAGCATAGAGCTTCTCATTCAGATCTGCCAGCTAGAAAATAAATAAATAAATAATAAATAAAAAATTAATCATTCATTCGTACAGCTTTAATAAATTCAAAATTTGATAGATATAAAATGATGAATTCAATTTTGTCCATATATAAGCACATTTTAAACATTATTATTATCTAGTGGCATATAAAATTCAAAAATCAGACTGTAAGTTGTTTTATCAAAAGAGCATACTAGCAAAACTAGATAATGGCAACTCCGCGGAGTAGCAAATCCCAACGAACAAAATATCAATTACCGAATTCCAATCAATTATACTCATTACTTTGGTTAAAATTGAAAAATTTAGATTTTAGAATTGCGAATTCCTGCAAAGCAGCCATTTTGAATTTTCTGAGGTACAAATCTGAGAAATAATAGCATAATTGTTATCTACTCCAAAATTCCTTCAATTTGAGTATAGTATAGCCATACTTTGAAGGGATCGAAAAATGATTGCGAAATCGTACGTTAGACTGCCATTTTGAATTTTACGAGGCTCGAATCAGAAAAAAGATACAATATTTGCAATCTACTCTTAATTGCCTTTCATTTGAGTATAATAAAGCTATACTTCAGAAAGATCTAAAAATTAGTGAAAATTTCTGTTTTCCTGACAGCCCCTGGGGGTCAGGATGAAAAACACGGAATATATGTGAAATAGATAGATGTTGCGAATATACTACCAGAATTTCAAACAATAATATTAATTACTTTGGTTTAGAATGAAAAATTTATGATTTTTGCGAAAAAGTCCCGTCATTTTTAAAGCGGCGGCCATCTTGAAAATTTTTTTTTGCGTAAAACTATTCATCAATATACATCTTTCCAACAAATATGAAGAAAATCCGTCTACTAATATTTGAGTTATCTTCCGGATGGACGGACGGACTGACTGACTGACGGACGGAGGGCTTCACTATATCCCTACCGAACTTCGTTCGTTGGGATAATTACCATGTTTTACAATATTTCATAACTATTGCATTTGATTTCTTCTAATCTCATTTCTTCTAGCCATTCTCTTTTAAATATAAGTTTTAAAGATTTTTGATCATGGACTTTTCAGAGGAAAAATTATATATGTTTTGCAAGTATCAAACAGACTTGCCAGTTTTTCAAGCTGAGCTATTTTGCTGAGATATTGCTGGTCTTTGTTAGAAAGAGATGCTCTCTGGTTAGCCTCCTCATGTAATTGCCTCTCTGCATTTGCTAGCCTCATCTCTACTTGCCTCCGTAGCTCATTCTCTGTATCTAATTTACGCTGACTCTACAAATATCAATGAAGACATTTACGAACATTAAACACAATGGCAAAATGACATTTCAATAAATATAACATTATCAGCCTCATTTCTACTATCCAACATTCATTCTCTTATACGTGGTATAAGGTCTGTTCTAAAGATGTTTAATCATTGGCTTTGTATATGGAGCATACTATATTATATCTAGATTTTGCATTCTTGAAAAAGTTAACATTTTCTTTACAAGGATCAGTCAACTAGAATGATTGTAACAGTGAAGTTTCAATCAACCATCAAATAATTTGTCTGGAAGTACTGAAGTTCATGGGGATTGGTATCGGAACACTTATGGGTACTGTACGTCGATAAATCTTCTGGATAAGTGTCTAATATGTTACCTCTTTCAGATCATGTTTGAGCATTGCCATGTCCCGCAGGCCTTGTCGCATATTAGTCTCTTCAGCAGATATACGGTCAAACTCTTTCATACTTAAACTGCAAGTGAACAATGTCATTTTAGAATTCATACATTTCAATATCAATTTTGTTAAAGTCTATTGTTGAAACATATTGATTCTTTTCATAGTTTTTTAAGTAATTATCAATTTTAACGCCAATTACATGTACAGACATTCATTAAAGAAATCATGTGATAGGTGTGAAGCATAGACTAATAAATGAGGGACAACAGATCTAATTGTTGATAATTAGTATTAATCACAGTAGTTCTTTAATGGCATCAACAAATACAGACTTACATATATTTTTGTTCAAAATCATCCTTTTTCATTCGTTCTGTTCGTATTTGTTCTTCTAATTCTTTCATTTTTCTGACAATATCATTTGACTGCAATGAAATATTCACAGCATGGTAAAACATAGAATACATAGTAAACAAGGTAGGCAGAGTAAGAATGAAGTAATCTGGTGAATTATTAAAGTATAAAGAAATTACATACTTGAAAGATAAGATGCTTCAAAACTTACTACCCATAATGGGGAGAGGATGAGAGATGAGGAGATTGAACTTAACACTGAAAAAGCATATATGATCAATACTCAATAGGATACTGTTAGATGCATGAGGAAACTATGGTAATGTGGCACTTACCGGTACTGCAGCAGTCTGAAAGGGAAAAAACAGATCATTTTTATTATTTACATTATAGTGTGTGTGATAGGACATTTAAAGCAAACTTCAAAATAGTGCATTAGGTTAAAATATCAACACTTAATAATAACAGATCTATGAGATAACTTGAAAACATGCTTTACAAAGTTCCTAAATTTAGAGGCTGAGTTCAGAGAATTAACAGTATTAGTGCATTGAAATACAATGTATTATATCAATGATTGCACATTCTTCTATAGCAAGCATTTAGACCAAAGAATTAATAGGAACACATGTTGGTTTAAGCTCATGGGAAAATTAATTGAACCAGTTAAGGAAATACATTCTGCTTACTGACGATTATATGAGCATTAGTGTTTTTGGGGAAATTCTCACGTTTTATTTTTGCTAAAATATTGGTTAAAAATTATGGTATGGGTATTGCTAAAGCAAATCTCACCGAACAAAAACCATTTATAGAAATTAGGCTATTTATATCTAAATATATATATAAAGAATTTGATACAAAGAAAAAGACAATGAATGAAGAAAGGTCTTTGATCGGTGGGATTTATTTTCCAAATACATGTTCTCTGAGCTGATTTCTATTATTTCTGTTATGCATCACAAGGAAATGTTACAATGTGCACTGGATCAATTACAATTTCACTACAATGTGTGTCACAATTTCACTACAATGTGTCACAATTTCACTACTATGAGTCATAATTTCACAACAATGTGTCATGATTTCACTACGATGAGTCATAATTTCTGTTGTGTGAAATAAATCCCATGTTTTAGCAGTTTTAGTGTAAGCTGCTGCAGTAGTATATGAATGACAAGTGACAGTTAATTACTAGCAACTACAAGAGTTAGGGGCCACATGTATGTAGCGGTACACTTACATCAACCTGGCAGGCAGTAACAAAACACAGAAAAATTAGAACTTTTTTGTATAATAAGTATGGATAACAAACTTATGTTTAAAACATCGAAGCCAAAAATGCTAAGCTAAATCCTATTAACATATATGAATTACTTAATATGAATCGTGAATCAATTGTCATTTTTTGGAAGTGAAAATTTGATAATTTAGCAATTTAACAAATACTTGATAAGATTCTTACCTCATCTCTACCACCAGTAGGAGCGACACCCTGTTGTTTACCATTCATCATACTGAAATAAGACATTTCATGAACCACAATTTGAATGAACTTCATCATAAGTAATACACGTATATGTCTATTCTTATTAATCATAATTACTTTATTATCTTATGTCTGTCAGTAAACAAGGCATTAAATGTTAAAACATGAAAAATGTCACTACCTTCTATTTATTACATAAAAGCTATATTCAAGTAAGCTAATGTCAATCTTCATTACATTACACCTAAAAGTGTTTCTATTCATTCACAAAATTGTGTAATCTGAAGCTTACTTATAATTCCTGGCATATGTAAAGCCTATGAATGGTAGATGATTTCCAGCAAATGCCTTGGGCACAGGGAAAGTTTCATTTGTACTGTCATCTTTCTCAATTTCATCAAAATTGCTTGTGTCCACATCACTTGCTAATTCAGGTACTACAGGGGGCACAGCTAAAATAATGCAACATATTGTTGAATAAATATAGTAAATATATTACAGGCCAAATGGTTGTGATATGGTGTCTGTATTGGTCGTTTCCATTATAGCCAAAACGACAACAATTAAAGAGCATGTGTTCATTAACCATAATAACTAGTGCGTTTACAAAGAAATATCTGATCATCAGACATTAGATATAATACTGCAGAAACACACTATATTTGCATTAAATATGAAACCTTCAACGTAAATATTCAGCCATTTCTGGTCTGCTACTAAGTGTGATAAAAGAAGCCACTTACTTTGTCTTATATTTCCCCAGTCCCAAGTATCATTTTTAAAGAATGGATGAGCTTTAATTTCATCGATTCCATTTTGTCCTAGTCTCTGGGTTCGGTCTGATAAAAAAGCGACAATTAATCGCTTGGCATTTGCAGACATTTCAATGTCACTTGGAAAACTTAATGAGTTTTTATGGTCCATAATTTTTCCATATGTTCCTACTAAGGAGTCTGCATAGAAAGGTGTATCCCCTGGAACAGAAAAGCATATTTTTGTCAAGACAGGATTCGATTTATTCAAGTTTAAAAAAGTTCAGGTTCTATAAACACACTTTATTTGATTTGCTAAAGCATTTTTGATAATTTTAACAATTTTTTTTCAGTTAATAAGATTTTTATGAGAATGTTCATCTAGTAAACTACATGTATTTAACTTTGAAATCCCCAATGCTTCTATCCGATTTACCTACCTACTAACATCTCAAAAAGAAAGACCCCGACAGACCACCAATCACACTCTCGCCCATAATACCCATCACCACCTTGGGATTTTAGCACCTCAGGGCTTATATAGTCAGGTGTGCCGACAGCAGTGTCACTGCGCACCATACCATCTTTGTCCATACGCATACATGTTCCAAAGTCTGCAAGCTTCAAGTGTCCCTGAGCATCAAGCAACATATTGTCAGGTTTCACATCCCTGAAAGGCAGTAAATACAAGGAATTATCAACTGCAGTCAGCGCTTGCATTAGGTTAGAAAATTTGTGAGTCCCAAGGACGCAATTTTTTTTAAAAAGTGTGTCCTTTGAAAAAAAAGTGTGTCCCCTATTTCTAGCCTGTTTTGGGGTATAACTTTATTTTAAAAGCATTTTTTACCAAAACACCTTTCAGTTTTTGATTTCTTGCCGCGAATTTAAAACGGAAGTAAACGTTAAGTACGGACTGAATAAATGCATGTTCGTTCATTCGACAATGAATACATTTTATTTGATGATTAACCTAATATTTGTTTCTGAATAGGAAAAACTGTGGCGTGTCATGGTTTCAAATCTAAAAATAAACAAAGTCGAAAAAATTCGAGAGAATCATGATTATTTGTAAATATTCAACATGTTGAGCCTTATTTATGATTCAAATAAAGGTGAGAGATCATAATTATTTGTTTTTGTTAGGTATTGTTGTAAACACATTGTAATATTGACCTAAAAAAATTTTGCGTCCAAAAAACGGAAATATTTTCAATTTTTGCGTCCTCCAAATTATTTTTGAGTCCTTAACATGTACGGGACGCCGTTAATGCAAGCCCTGGCAGTATTTACACATAAGTACTGCTATGAAGTACATGTAATAACAAAAAAAAGTGATAAATTTCACTCTGAAAATAACATAATGGCCACCATGTAATTAACTAAGCATGGCAAAAACCTAATCAGATGTTGGCACTAGTTTGCATCTTGCACTAGCACTAGTTTGCATCTTGCACTAGCACTAGTTTGCAGATGTAAAGTTTCAAGTTGAACAGGTAAGATGTTTTCTTGTAATTTTGATGACAAGATTTATGTGGCGCCCATCCACCTGTCCAGACTAGATGTACACCCAGCAACAAAAGTTGACAATTAGCACTTTTTCAAAATGTGATAATATTGATCTCAGAAGGGGTCTTTACACATCGCAAAACATCTGAACATCTTGAAATATGAATATGAACATTGTTCCATGTTTTGAGTTTTGAGAGGAAGTGAAAATAAAATTGAGGGATGAACTCCCACCAAAAAAAACAATTTGCAATGACAATTTGCACTTTTTCAAAATGTGATAATATTGATCTCAGATATGGTCTTTTAACATCTGGAAACATCTGAATATCTTGCAATATGAATAAGATCATTTCTTTGTTCCGTGTTTCGAGTTTTGAGAGGAAGTGAAAATAAAGTTGAGGAATGTACTCCCACCTAAAATAGTTGACAATTAGCACTTTTCAAAATGTGATAATATTGATCTCAGAAGGGGTCTTTATCACATCGAAAAACATCTGAACATCTTGAAATGTGATTTTTTTCCCCAGGTTTTGAGGAATACCTTTGGACAATCAGCTTTGAGGGGAAGTTAAAATGATACACAATATTAAAGGAATTTAAAGTGTAAAACCATTTGTAAGAAATCTACTACTTTACATAATGGATAAAGGAGGGGGAATACTGGTCCCATTGCTAAACCTGAAGACTCCCTTATTGCTCATTTCATTAAGGGGGTTATATCTTATTTTGCTAGACCTGGCATTGAGCAGACAATTTATGGATTCTTAAACCTTTAGTAAAAACATGATGACATTTAACCCGCTTAGCCACAAACTAAATAAACTTTATGATTAGTCATCCATTGATGGTTTGATTCTTTCTCCAAAACAAAATGAATAACAACCTTACATTTACAAAGATATCTGGAAACAACACATACGTTGACACCATTATCAGGATACATATCAGGTACAAACTGAATGTTATCTATTAACACCTTGTATTCCTTCCCTTACCAATATAGCCATGTAAATGAAGATACTGTAACTAAGCAACACAAAATTCATGTTACACAAAACATCCAAGACCAAACACATGCAGAATTAGCAAAAAATATTCTTACTCGCCCATTAGAAAATCAAATCTGACTGTTTTAGTGTTGACCAGCTTGACCAGTAAAATCTTGCTTGTTTACAGGAAAGGTATACAATAAACAATTATTGACCTCCAGGTTGACTATAAATGTTGTGTAGAGGTATGAGTTTGACAGTCAACTAAATAGAGATGTCTAAAACTGCTCCCAAAAAATATATTAAGTAAGGTTAATTTACTCCAAGAGCTAAACTGAACACTCAAATTCATCATATCTATCTATCAAGTATTTTCTGTCATCCATAATATCAATATCATCTCTATTACGGCAGTCAAAACTATAGACTGTTTCTTGACCAATCAGAGTTGAGTATTTCAACAAGACTACAAGCAATGTATCATATTACTGTCTGTATAAGTTAACAATAATATACTGTAACCCGATAGACTAAAACTAAATGCTCCTACCTGTGCACAAATCCCATGGAATGAATGGCATCTAAAGCAAGCACAACCTGGGCACAATAAAATTTTGCCCATTTTTCTGGTACATCATAATTGCTCATGAGATTGACCAAGTCCCCTCCAGGCATGTAGTCCATCACCATATATAGAAACTTGGTGTCTTGGAAGGCATAATGTAGCTGAAAATGGATAAAATAAATAAACTTAATGAAATTGTATTTAAATAGTGATTCAACTTATACAATTGGCTTCTGAAAAATTCATTTTTCTTCCTTTAAAATTAGATTCAATTAATTTGCTGTCAAAGTAAAGCAAGAATAAGTTTTCACTTTGAGGGTTATGAAGTTATATATACAAAGGGGTGAGATTATCCTTGGAGTATCATTGTACGTGCATAAATGTAGATGTTTATATTTAAAAATGTACCTGTACTATCCATGTACTGTTAGCATTAGCCATAATCTCTCTTTCCTCCCAGAAGAAAGCAGAGTCTGACCTTTTTATCTGGAAAGGTAAAAACATGAAAATGTGGGTCATTGTTCCAACATCACAAACAGCATAATGTGAAACCTTAAAATAATGTTACAAACTTACGGAATAATGAAAACACATGCTTTTTATTTTTGTTATGGGAATTTGAAAGAAATAACAGATGCAAATGACAGATCAAATTAGCTAACATGCACAACCCTTTTTATTTTTATTAGGCTTGACTGGCAATAGCCTCACAACAGCAGGCAAAGAAGATGTGATTTACAGTTAAAACATATAAAAAATGGATGAATTTCTGTAAAAATGGTGGGTATTGATTCACAGGTGGTTTTTGCCACCCACCACCTTCAAATGAAAAGGTTTATACAAGAGAACTTCTGAGTGTGCTGTAATTGATTATTACTTAATAAATAAATGAACTGTTATATGCACGACTACACCACAAACAATACAATTGAATTATTTTCAATTAAATCCAATTCATATATGATACAATTGTGATACTGCTGCAAGTAGAGTAGAATAATTGTTAACTAACCATTTCAAATTTGCTGAGTAATTTCATTGCATAGACTTGCTGACTAGCTTTGTGGCGGACCTGGAAAAATAAAAAATGTGCATGTCAATGAGTTCAGGGGACATTTGATGCCAAAAGGTGATTTGTTTAACTGCATTCGGTTTATGGAATAAACTTTTTGATTAAAATGAAACTGTTCTGATTTTTCAATGTCAATGAAAAATATATGATCACTAAAATATTCAATATTTTGTGCAAACACTTTGTAACATTTACAGAGCATTCTCACTTCATCCTAAGATAAATGATTTGGAAAAATAATCTTATTTCAATATACAGAGTGTTTGGGTAGATCTGGCAGAATAATTATCTGCTCTAAACGTCATATTTTTGAGTAGCTTTAGTTCTACTATGTTTGTAGAACATGAAAAGTAGACGAATGGCTCAGTTGGTCATTTATCATCATCTAAGTTATCTTTCTTTTTTTCCTACTCCTGCATCAAACCCCTAATTCCCTTATAGATAAGAGGGGTTACTTGGTACAAGACCATAGTTTGCTGAAACTGATTCTGAATTATCTGTAAGGCCATACAAAGTCAATTTTATGTTTAACCTTCACTCTGAGGCAAATTTCTAATTACCACCTACTAAGGTTTACTCCTTGACAGGATGTAAAACACATAATAACTTTGAATGGCCTTTGAGATACTTGACTTTATTAGCTGAATATTAGGTACATCATCATATCTTATTTGTTACCCTCTGTTTCAAAATATACTACAATGCAACCAATGTCTGAAAATATTCTACATTGCTATGTACCACAATTGAACCACAGGAGAAGTCTATTGAAGGAATCGTAAGATTTGTCTTACCCTGCGTGCAGAGTCTAGTTAAACTATTGAAGACGGAGCTCTCTTTTAAGAAGTGAAGTCGAACGAATGCAAAGGGTAGATTTGTCTATAAGACTGCAGTGAAGTTGAGAACAGATGCATGGCATCAATGTAGATCAACACTTGCTAGGTTTATACCATACACTATAATATATACCAGTATATACCTCTTCAATGGAGAACATTGAGATAAGATAAATCTACAAAGATCAGGCAGCTTAAAAACATCCTCATTATCTATTATCTACACGAGGCAGGCTTCGTAGTATTTTCAGAAATATCATCCTCATATTTCATTTCATTCTTAATGATTAATACATTGCAATGTCCCTATGGTTCAGCAATGACTAAATTCTCCTGTTTTATATCATGGTGATCTTGAATATTGTTACATGTACCTTAACACAGAGATTAGTTCTAAACTAACCTAACCTTGTCATAAGACAATTAAACCCCATTGTGCTGAGATTTTCGCAGGCAATCAGCAAACAGAAAGACTAGAAAGAAGTATGTTTTAATAAAGCAGGATATGGATGTCACGGTTTCCCAATAACTTTGGTCTCGGGACGGGACAACCCTTGTGTACCGAAGATTTCGGTCCATGTTCAGGATATACTATTTCTCCTGTATATGACCCTAAAACTTCCCAAATGCACGTTAAATACGATCTAAACTAGAATTTTCTTTGCGTTTTTACCACTTAATTGCACTGCATAAGCATAACCGGAAGTAGACGGAAAATGTAAGTTGTCAAACTGTTTTAAACTTATTAACTATTTTATTGGTTATGTCCCATCCCGAAATGGATAATTTCTGTCCCATCCCGAAATATCTTTGTCCTGTGACATCCCTAAAGCAGCATTGGGGCAACAATGATGTAAGAAGAAATGGCCATGTAAATAAAATCATTCTTCTAGACAACAAGCTTTGGTTGGCTTTACAAATTTCTCTCGGAGGTTTCTAATCAACCAAAGAGTTAGAAGAATCAAATGAATGTATTGAGAAATCAATTGCATTACAGAGGGTTAAGGGGTAAAAATAACATCCAAATATTAACTTTGGAAATATATTGATTTATTGAAACGCTCCCTAACCTGGAACATATTTTATCTAATTGATTACTCAGTAAGTTAGTATATTGCTTTACAGGCAGTTTATGAACAAAGGCATCATAACTGTTTTGTAAAGATGTCAGAATAACATTCTTTCTCTATTATGTATCCATATAATAAAACACAGTTATGTATATAGAGACTGAATATTTTTAGTTAAGTGAAGAATATTCACAGGTATTCAGTGCAGATAATTTAAGACTTGTCCATCATGATAACAGATCACCTCTAATTCTTCCTCTAATTTCAAAACAGATATGATTAGTCGGGCCTGTAGTGAGCCCCCTGGCCTAAAATTCTATAAAAATCAACATGTGCACTTTTTGGGTGATTTTGGGCCAAATATGCCAAAGCTGAACACCCCCAAATTTTGGAAAAGTGATCCCCCTTGGCAGAACCTAGCTACGGGTCTTTGCAAGACTAGAAAGAGATCTTCAATGTATTAGTATTTCACTATAATATACAGTATCTGTATTCTGCTGCATATATACATGAAGGTACCTGCAAAGGTTTCATTAGCAGCAGGCGAAATTGCCTGTTGTTTTCACCAAATCATCTGTTGTATTTCAAGGAATTTTGCAATATATCCCATTGCATGTTAGAATTGTTCATGAAATTTCCAATAATTTTGCCTGTTGTTTTTCACTATTTTGCCTGTGATAAGAAATTCTATTGAAACCTCTTATATTATGGCTCCCTCATTCTTAGCAATATCAATAATGCAATACACATACAGTATCTAATATAGAGGAGGTCTGCCAGTTTTACTCCATCAATCTCTCTCTGGCATCTATACCAGTTTATTTCCCTTTAAAATAAAAGGGAAGTACACTTTTTGGGCTGTATTTATAAGATATTCCTTACAGGTTCACGATTTTTTAAATCATGGCTTGCATTTTAAGAGTGGCCACAATGGCATATTATCAAGGGCTATCTCTCCTAATCTCTCCAGTGATTATGAGTGTACACATACACATTTACTTAGAAGCCATAGTTCTGTCACAATTATGAAACTGAAGGATGATGAAGATGCTCTTAAAGAGTATTCAAACAGTTCATGGAAATTAAATAATCAAGACCCTGGGGCCTGAAGAGAAATGAATGAGTGTATGTTCTTGTAATGCTTTTGAAGTGTTTGCCTGTATGTCTGGATATTGGATAATGTTAGAATTCACGAGAATTCATATACAGTAAAATATGTATATACGAACACCCCTAATATGAACACCTCTCAATGTGAACACTCTTATTCTCAAAATTCTTTATCCTCTCATTGATTCACATTCAAAACACTTGAAATGTGAACACCTACTAATCAATACACTTTAGGCCTGTCCCAGTAGCACTCAGATTAGACTAGTTTTACTCTATGAGTACTTATCAATCAAATTAGATAACATGAATACAAAATGTTATTAATACATAGAGTTTGGAACAATGTCTATATAATTATTTGCATTGCATGAATAAACACATTAGCAAATTAAAACATGATATTTTATTCATAAATGTTCGATGTTAAATGTATGAATAACTACTATATTGGTATTCAAAAGATTTCCTTGTCAAATCAATTTGTAATTCCTGTTTTCCACAAATTACTTCTTGGATTACCAAGGTAATATTGCAGTTTTCACATGAAAATCAGGCTGATAAACGAGTTTGACAAATTAAGGGTCTCTAAAGAACAATAACAGAAATATTTGTCAAAGTGATATGAAAATTATCTTGGTGAAAACATAAAAATAGTAGTCTAAAAGGCTTATCAGATAAAAAGGGTTTTCATCCTATCAACATTTGACTCATTTTTCTGAGTCAGCCTGTAATTCAACATTCTTTTAAGTTGATAATGGGCAACTCTATCAACTTTTGGGTCAATTAAAATCATAGAGTAAATCAGTTTTGTTCATTGCTTGGTAACGTGACCTTTATCTGGAATATTGTAAAAGTTGAAAAAGTTTCCAAGGTGGTCTTAGGTCTTGGTATAGTATGTATTACATATACTCGTATGTTTGCTTTACATATATGTTAAACTTAGAAGTTATGAAATTAAGTTCTGGATATACATGGTTGTTAACAAAGAGAATCTAAAAGAGAAATTAATAAAAAGAAGCCAATATTGAATGTACTATATAGTAATTTTACAGTATAGTTCATTGCATACAAGATGGAGTGGTTTATCTTAAAAGTACAGACTATGATTACAAGCTTAACTGATACCCTTCATTCATTTAATGAAATAAGACATGAGAAAAGTTACTTTTTATTGACACACCCCAGATTAACTAAAAAATGAATCAAGTAATTTTACTCTCCATAATAATCAATAATTCATATATGAAGTCACTCTAACTTAGAGTTCTCAGGTTATCATGACAAACCTGACATTTACTAGCCAAGAATCTCACAATCAAATGGATTAATGGTTTAAAAACAAGAATATACACAAAATTTGAATAGTAGCAAGCCATGTGATATTTTCACACAAAACTTGACCTTGGCCTACATGTAATATTCTCACACACAACTTGACCTAGGCCTACATGTAATATTTTCACATATAACTTGGCCTGGGCCAGTTGGCCTACATGTGATATTTTCACACATGACTTGACCTTGGCCTACATGTGATATTTTCACATATGACTTGGCCTGGGCCAGTTAGCCTACATGTGATATTTTCACACATGACTTGCCCTAGGCCTACCTGTGATATTTTCACATAACTTGACCTGGGCTTATATGTGGTATTTTCACACATGGCTTAACCTGAACTTTCTTGTGACATATATGTACATGTATTTACATCTAACATATTCACAAATCACATGATCAAAATCTACATGATATTTTTACAATCTCAACCTGGACCTATGTGTAATAGTTTCACACAACACTTGTCTTGGATCTACTTCTGATATTTTCACACACAACTTGTCTAGACCTACACATGTAATATTTCCCACATTTGACTTGATTCAATGTTTCTATATGACTTACGCATCTTAATTTAATTTACCAGAGTTGAATATTCTCAACCAATCAAATTATTATTTACGGTCTTCACTACTCAACAATGACCAATCGATGTCATAAATAACTGCACTAATCAGATCTATGATATAGTTGTTAACCTTAACCAAGATCCAGTGATCAAAAACGTGATATCATTTCCATGTCAGACTGAAACAAGCCAACTCAGTATAAATCTATTTACACTCCTCCTTTACTTGTTCCTATTCATGTTTAGTAAAGCTGTAGTTGAATAGCAACATGAATCATACAAATTGATATTTATTTAAATTAAAAGTTCCTAAATAGTGATACAATATTGATCATGTACTTACTAACTGTACTTCTCCAAATGCTCCACGACCAATGACTTTAACAACATCAAAGTCGTGAGCCTTCATACGCTTGTCACACACAAGGTCCACAGGCTTCTCATCTGAAACAACATGTGCATTCTTGATTTGGGATCTTTTGTATTATGAATGTTATTCTTGAACTTCATCAATATCACAATATACAGTATGGGTATTTGGGTGATAGGATTTGTTGTAATCATGTTTTTGTAATGTTGTCATTATGATTTTTGACATGCTTTTACTTTCAATTTTTTCAATTTTATTTATTATACCATGACCCAAATAAAGGGTATTAGGCAAAAGTACATACAGTAAATAAGTATTTAACAGTTAAGTATTTCATAACAAACATATTTACAATTGCTTCCCAGCCTCATTTAGAAACTTACATAATGCTAACAATACTTTACTATCAGATTGTAACAGCTTGGCATATTTAAAAGTACTAATGTTTTTACAAATATATTGGGTCTTTAGACAAAAAAGTGCATTGATTTTAACAGAAAATTATAATTTTGTATGCGCTTATTTTACATATTCTAAAAATTATAACTGATAAGTTGATTTAGTGGAAGCTTACCAAAATTTTTGTTTTCCTAAAAGAGTGCTTTTTATTCAAGATAGAAATTGAACAGAGAACCAACCATCAACTCATTTTTATTGAAATTTGTGCCACTTGCCAAGGGACCAGAAAGAATACTTCAAGAAAACAGTAAGTTATCAAGGAATCAAATAGGACCTGAGGTAAGAAATCTCTGGAGTGAAAAATATAGTGTTGTTTCTGTTTATAAATATGCAACATCCATTGAAAATACCACAAAAATAGTTTTCTTGGAATTGACGAAATGTTATTGAACTGTACTTACATCGTGTGAGAAAATTCTCTACATTCTTGTTGCGTCTGATTGCTGGGAAGTTACAGTCTAGTACAATGGCTGATATACCATCCTGAAATAACAGATACAGAATAAATAAACATCTAATATACATCAAAATACAGGGTCATCAATAATTTCAAGGTATAGCAATATCACTCTAATGTTTACATTTTAAAATTGACCTTTTTATGTTCCCTTTCACATGTTTTTCACTAAATTAAAATATGTACTTCCAGAGTATATCTCATTAACAAGATTGACTGGGTGGAGTTGGACTTCAAAGTTTTAAAAATAAAATGACTGTAGGGAAATACACAGTGGTCGTTACATAGTAGCAGGGTACCAGAGTTGTGGTTTGTAACAATATGATTTTCAAAAATGAGTTTCTAAACCTTCTTTCAGCATCAGAATTTCATGTTAGAGTTCAGACTAGTAGCACAGTAAAAGTATGGCAAGATCAAGAAATATATCTGATATCAACCAGATTCCAAGGATGACATTTATAAACTTGTTTGGTTGAAAACATGATATAACGTATTTGCCGTAATAAGCGCCCAGGGTGCTTTTGAAATTGAAATTCCCATTGTAACCTATTACAAATAGCGCCCATATATGAGAGAAGTCAAAAATCCCCGGGATTTTCATATATGGGAATTTTTCTTGCCAAAAATGCCTTATTTGTAACGAAAGTAACAGCATATTTTTACAATAATGGTATGTATCGTTATTGGAGAGAATACAGTAAAGATCGCTAAAATAAAGCAAGAATCTTATTATATTGACAGTGATTGAAGAACTCCCCAGCAGAGCCCCTCGAGGGGAAGGAATTGTTTTCCGCGATTATCTTCAATTTTTCCACTATAGACTGTTAGATATCGATCTAAAGTTATACCTTGTTTTTTTTAATTTGATGACAGATCATAATTTTTCGTATAAAAATCATGTATAAGTCAAATTCTTAAAAAGAAACAAGAACGTTCACGACCTTGACGATCACTAAGTTAGTAAAATGTGTAAACAAAACTCTGAAACGCGATCATTTCCTTCATTCATTATGGACTATCTTGAGATAATATTAGCTTAATATAATGTGGGAAGCACCCACTGATAGATATTCATCGGAAGGATGCATCGATTTACAAAATGCGTCATGTTTTCTGCATTTTAGTGTAAGTACTCTATTATTGCCCACTATATTTCTTTGGAAATTTGTTTTTCTTTCTGATATATTCGTTAATACTTGGTCATTCCTTGTTGTTTCTTGAACTCTGTGAAGCGGGGTAGGCGCTTATTAGGGGTGTGCCCTTAATACGGAGATTACGGTATTTCTCTTTAGGATACAACGTGAGTATACATGTATGTCTTAGAAATATGGATATAATATTCAATAAGACCCCCTTAATTTCTGTTTGACTTAGCTTCTTAAAAGATAGCTTCAAAGAGAAACATTTGAGCTCATCGAGACAATCATAGTTTGTTGTCCAAATGACAATTTTTTAGTTTAGCCAGTATTAACCAACATTAAATATTATTTAAGCATGTTTCTTTCTTCTCAATGATTGGCTAAGAAAATGTTAACATGGTTGGTTTCAATATTGATTTATGACCCAGGTTGTGATGGCCACCAACAAGTGAGGGCAAGTGACTAAACTATAAAATTGTCTTAACTGCTCAGATCTTAACTAAGCTCTGTGCTCAGGGTATTTATAAGAATACTGGTCATTCCTTATCTAGTTTCCTGGCAATAAGTACTTAATTGCGACATATGTCTCAAACCCTAGTTCCAATTGTCTTTTTCGCGGTTCGCTCTTCAAACGAGGAGACACATAAGGCCAAACAAAAATATATGTCCGTTTCCGGAACCCCGACCGACCCTAGTTTGAACCCCCGACCCTAAGACATTTTTTTAGTACACTGAAAAATAAATTATTCTATCTCTGCCCCTACTCGATTGAAACAATACATTTCCTTCTGAAATGTTTTACTCACATCAGGCCCAGGTGTCCATATTTCTCATACCCTGGAACATTTGCAGAAATATTATCGTTAGGGCCCCCAAAACACTTGAAACACAGGAAATATTGTTTATTTTCTTGAAAAGTTCGCCATTTTTGCTCTTCAAAATAGAGGCCCGCAATCAACTCCCAGAGGGGTCTAGCAATTGCTAGGAAGACATCTAAGGTTTCGGGTTTCACCCCCTTCAATAAAATTTGCAATTCCCATTTTACCATGCAGATTTGAAATAAGAAAAATAAAATCTTGGGGAGGGAAACTCGAAAACACAACAGCTATTTGCATACATTTGTCAGCCTGACCTTTTACTTAGGAATGTTTATAGTGGGAAATTTGAATTTGAATGTTTATACCACATGATTGGTCTATTATAGTTTGATCTGATCACATGACTTATCATCATCATCAAGTTTAGGAGGGGTGGAGGCTTTATATCCTGTAATGTTCTCCCATCTGATCTATTAAAAATGAAAACTGAATTTAGGGTAGGGAACTGATTATTGCTCACTAGTGGCTATTTGTAAAGATCTGAGTACCATGCCTTGTCCAGGAGGATTTTGAAGTGGGAAACTATCAATGATACCCTGGGAGAGGGAATTCCAATGTACCAGATGAAAATAAAAATATTGAATTAAAAATATTCTTCTAATGTCTTCCAAAGCTGATTCTGTTTATTTTTGAGTCAGAAAAATTATATTTTTGAGGCATATATTAATATGATGACAACTTTGTAACCTCTGCTGATCCAGTGCTAAATATACTGATATTTGATGTCCATGAAGGCCTTTATCCAGAAGTTTCGAATGTTATGATGGAATAAAATTGATAATAACAGATCAATAGACTTGTTTATTATTATATAGGCCTAGTGTCAAGGAAAACTTTGTTTTATTGCAATAATAACAATTTCAAGCGATAATAACAACTACCTTTCTTTGGTATTTAGTTACCTAGAAAAAATCTCACGTAACAATTTTCAATACCAGGCGAGAAAGTTAAGTTCGACCCCTGACCAAGTTGTTTATTTAGTTCAATATCTGAAGGTTTTAAGTAAGTATGGATCAAATGATTATAGACTGCATGATGAATTAAGGTCTCATGGCAGTTAAGAGCAAATGACAAAACGAAGAGATGACAAAAAACATAAGATAAAATATTTTTCTGACTGACCTACCCTAAAAAAAATTGAGTAAAATTTTAATGAAAAATAAAATAATCCTCCTACCTACCTACCCTAATCTGAAAATACATGGAGCAGGAAACAGACATATATTTTTGTTTGGCCTAAGTCTTTCCTTATATGGACAAAATATCAACCATGATGTAATATGCTGGGGGAACAAATGACAATGCCAAAGCGTAACAAATCCCATCGAACAGCCATGGCTGGCATTTTTACAAACAATGTATATAGCAAAAATGGCAGCCATTTTTCAAAATGGTCACCTTCTGTGTCAGTAGGCAGTGTGCCATGCTTATAGTATTCACATACCACTTTTTTCAATTTATAGTAAAATATGTTAAATGGTAGCCATTTTTCAAAATGTTTGTGCTATTTTGAGCATCCTTGATTGTGAATCAATATTTAAACTATTATTAAAAATTTATCAAATGATTTTAGACAGCCATATCTTTGACCAAGAGTTTTTCTCACCATAAATTCAACATTGAACAATACTTTTTCATCCAGTTGAGATCCCAAGGATATCAAAATCAACATTTCAAATCATCAATAAACTATACGTCAAGAAGAAATCTTTAAGTTCTTTAAAGGTAGAATGACACTGAAAGATTTATTTGGAAGATATCCAATTCTAATGACCACAATAAGGCTGAAATCAATGGACACCAGGAGTTTTGCAAATGGAAAAATAATACTGGATATATATATGTGGTTTTTAACTTTATCACATTTCAATGTCCTTCCCCTTTCAGAAATTACTGACATAGTATAGAAGAAGCTTTTATCCATCAAATTTCCAGATTAATACATCAGTGATCTCTCCAGTATTAAAGCAAATGGGCAAAGCTTACTTAGGTCCAAAGCCTTCTCTATATTCCGGTTTTGAGTGATTGTTTACCGCCGTCCTGATATTCAATATTTGTAAATCATGGTGACACATGCACAATTTTATGAAACATACCTTAATGTACACATTTGCAGAATATCAGCTTATATCCCGGTTCTAATCGATTGTTATATATATTTTAATTTAGCGAAGTGGAATTTCATTTCAAAATGGCCTCCATTTTTCTGCCGAGTGAGCTGTATTAATGGCGGATCTGTTGAGTTTGAGGTTATGTCCGAAAAGAAATTTTGAATCTTGATCCAGACAAGCAACGCTTCAACTTAAATATGATTAATATTCTTATAAATATTTATAAGAATTATTAGATAGGACTTCTAGGTGCGTGTGACACTTTTTTTAGATTACATACGAAATCAATGAAGTAACATCTATCTGTAAGCTAGAGACTCGAGTAAGGCACAGCACCCACTGTGATTTTGGAAATAGGCTTGCACCCACCTGAAAATCCATTTGCACCCACTTGAAAATGAGAAAAATTATGAAAAATGGGCATATTTTGACCAATTTTGGTCTGAGTTGTGAAAATGAGAAATTTGCACCCACTTACAAAATATCCTGTGGAGATCACTGTACATATAAACATTTATTGTATCAAGTCTATCAGTGTTGTTTTCCCTCTACTAATATTCACTGATTTTGTGAATATTTTGTGTTATCATTTCACTAAAAAGAACGTCAAATCCCTTGATAAATTATGGTATAGTACAATAGTACAATTCGGGAAAAATCGTATACCTATTGTCCTTGTAAGATGACGACTGTGTTAGTTTGATAGATCCTGATACTAGTGTTGAGTATATGTATGCTCTTATACTTACCAAAAGCCCATTGACATTTAACTCTGAATTTGGGTTTCGTACACATTCCTCTATGTGCCCCAACCGCCTCTGAAAGTCTGGATCAAGGTGGGCCATTGTGATCTTGAAGGTGTGCCCTAATTAAGATGTATCGGAGTGCTTATATCTATGAAATCAGTTCCAACATCCAACATTGTTCGTGAGTAAATGTTTACGACTGCAAGGACTATTGAACTCAGCTCATCTTATCTGTATGAACATAAAAATAAAACATTGTCTACAATAGAATTTTGATAGAATAAACGCAAAATGCCTTTCAAATTTGAAAAATGAACTAACACTCCTGATTTTCATTTTTCTAAAAAAAATTCAAAAATCAAGGAAGCAAAACAAAGTTGACAATTTGTTCATTTTGGCTGTATTCAACAAGTTCTTCCGTTTCTATATGGCGAGAGTGATAGTTAAGATATTCTTTAATTGATACTCACGCTTTTAAGTATAATTGGCTCAGATAATTAACTTGTAAACAAGTTGATCAAAGTTTCGACCGCCATCAAATTCAACATGGCTGACTTTTACCACAATCTGAAAGTACGTCATGTCTATCGTGTCATGCTAAAACTTCATTTTCTCACAGTAATCTCTGAATATAGTGCCATATTGGATATTAGATGGTGTGATCATATTCTGTTAAAGACTATATTACATGAATTGCATCTCTTACTTTTCTGACAGAGGCATTACATCATTCTGCAAAATTTATTCTGCTAATCTCAAGTTACGTATAATATTGACTATGGTATGTCAAATGACGTCATTCAGGCACCTGTCATTTTGTTTTGACCACTTGGCATTTATATTTCTAGTTTAGATTCTATAGAAATATATTTAGGATTGTAATTGCAAGAAGTGATAGATATACTAATTCAAGACTTCTTTTAAACTTAAGATCTTTTGAGGTTAATTAGATCCATGTCCAGTGAAAAACACCCCCCCTTATCCCGTACCAGGACTGGTACGGGATAACCCCACCCCCTTTCCAACTAATTACACATACCAGGGGCGGATCTGGGAACCAACAAGGGGGGGGGGCAATTTCAGGTCAAAGAAAAAACTTCCGCACTTGCGCAGAATTTTTAAAAAATTTTGAGGCCCATTTTCTTCGAAATTTGGCCTGAAATTAAAAAATAAAGCCTAAAAGGCCCAGTAATGATCAAAAAGGCCCACATTTTGGGCCCCCAGGCCACCCCCCCCCCCCCCCCCCCCCCGATCCGCCAGTGCATAATTCATAACGCAATTGATCAATGAATAAGAAATGCGAACAATTCAAAGTGACACATCTGTTGAGTTTATGAAGAATTAACACTGTTAAAGCTGACTGATACTGATTTACTTCGGTCCAAAGCCTTCTCTATGTGAACTCCATTCACTATATCATAGTATTATGATCTGAGCTGGATCGCTATTTTCTATTTCCTAAATTTCTATATACATCTGAATGCATTACAAGTTCATCAATGGTTTTGAAATGAGTTTTATGAAAAGTCAAATCATAAAAGGGAGGGGTTATTATTTGGATTAAACATATATTTAACTTTGACTGGCCTTACCAGTTTCTTGATAAGGCACTTTATCCCATTGCCAAGTAGAGTTTTAGGGAGATAAGTTGGTAAGATATATCCCGTATCCTGATTTTGAGGTTTCTATATCCTGAACCTCCATATCTCCCGCCATATCTCCCGCTCCAGGACATATGTTCCCGCTTCGAAAAATTTTTGAAAAAATAAGAAAAAATTGAAAAAAAGAAAAAATAGAAAAAAATTTGAAAAAATTGAAAAAAACAGAAAAATGTGAAAAATTGAAAAAATAAAAAAATTGAAAGAAAATTAGAAAACTCTACTTGGTATAGGATAAAGCAGTTATGTATGGTAAGTTTGGATATTGGGTTCATCCCTCGTGAGATATGCACATCTACCTTCGGTCCCTATGGTCCCTCAGGTAGATATGGATATCTCCCTCTGGATAAACCCCATATCCAAAACCTCCCAGTACATAACCCTTATGTATCGTATCGAAATGAATGTACCGTTAGGTTTCCCTTGTAATAATTCCCATTGCTCCCTTATTTCAAGTCTGTATTCTCTTTTGACCCATTGACATTATCAGACCCATCTTTCAGTAGAAACAATGATTTTTGTTATATGCATTTTACTATAATCATTGACTGTGATTTCTTTTGTATCACAATCATTTTTGCAATAAAACACATTACCACTGAAACTTTTAAAAAACTTGCTATTGTATAAAGGCAGTCAATTTCAAACATTGAATGAATTCCTTTGATTTTCCAATAATAGAAACATGGATAATTCAACAACACCATGAGAGTGACCACAATGATTGTGATTGTAGAAACTGGCCTTTTAATGACCTGTTACACCCCCTCAATAAGCTTGGCAATAACCAGAGGTATTCATTGTATAGCATATTAAATCCTGCCAATGCTTGAATCTTAATTTTGTTACTTAATTACGTTCAAAATTCATGACATATTAGATGATTTTTTTTAATCACAAAATGTAAACAGGATTTGATAATGATCTAAAGGGGACTTCTTGTTGTCAAACTATAATGAGGGGAGTTCATCTCAATGAAGATACTGCAAATCCCAATGATTGATGCCCTATATGTATAGTAACTAAAACATTTTTTCAAATAAATAAATCTTACACAATCTTTTATTGTTAATTCTTTAATCAGTATATAATATATATATATAAATACATGAATATTTTTGTGTAGTACACATATTAAAATTTCATTTTACACAAATGACGGATTTTGCACAGGTAAAACAGCATTGAACATTTTTGTGCAACATTTTAACATCTCACAAGTTTGAGACAAAATCTAGATGGAACCAAAAATTATAAAATTATAGTGCAAAATACTTTCCATAAATTGTTTACAAATTTTATCAGTGTACATGTAGGCCCTTAGGATCTGAAACCTGCTGGTCAAAATAGCATTATAGACCCAGTCTAGATTGCCTCATTCTAGAGTAAGTAATAAATTGTATTCAAACTAAATATTAATAGTCCATACTTTATCTGGCATTTGTGGACGATAATCTAACACCTAGTGAAAAATCAACTGATCCAAATCAAAAGCAACCTGGTACTGACCAGCAGACCAGCCTTTAAGGTACCACTATAATGTTTACTTGATACACATGGACATAGCCAAGGATGAGGCAGGTGAGGCAAGCATGAGGCAGGTGAGGCAAGCATGAGGCAATTGCCTCACTAACATTTTACAGAAAATATATTTTTATGGTTTTTTACTGAAACTGCAAAAATGATGTCCAATAGTACTATTATTTTCCGCTTTATATATTTGCTTATATTTCTACATTTGCCTATTGTGACCCCTGGCTACATCCTTGGTATGATCATCATTTTTGGAAATCTTGTTCAAATGCAAGTCAAAATGCAAGTCATCATATAAAAATAGCTACACCATGTACAGATGTAATATGTTACAGGTTAGTATCAAATAATATATATTTTGCAAGAAAGCACTTGTTTTTCTAGTTCTACCCTGTAACTCCTGACTTATGGCCAAACAACCCGATCTTAGAGCTTACTTCTATCTCAAATTGTTTTCACTGTGACTAAAGTGTACATACAATTTTCAAAAATGTCAATTATTTCACCTTCTTTAGCCAAAAGTTCTACAGTGTATATCTCATTTTACTCAAAAATCGATATGTTGCTTCTCATAAATGGCCACTGGTCAAAAACATAGAATATATTCTAAATACTAATAAGTTGATATATTTGCATTTTAAAATTAATGTATAATTTACAAATTCATTACTTCGGTTTGAAATGAAAATGATTTCATAAAATTCCAGCCATTTTTAAGGCATATGGCCTTTTTGAAAAAAAACTTTGGGCTTAAAAGCCAGTAACCTATACATCATTCTCCAAAATATAAAGAAAATCATCTGAGAGAGTGCTTACTATTATCTCTACCAAACGTTGTTCATTTGTTTTAGATAAAAATAGTTAAAACGTATCATGTCATGTAAGAAGTTGTTCTGTATTAGTGTACCTTATTTTCAATTACAGTGTATGTCCAATCAATGAGATGAAAATAAGATATAATTATGTGTTGAGTTGCTATATTATGTTGTTATGTTGCTATTTTAGAATTCAGAAATTGGTGTCGTGTCGTGACTAGTTATAAGTAAAGTACTCGTTCTGTTTACTTCAAAAATATATTTCTTGCACAGTAAACCTGTTGTAAACATTTGAGTGAATTTGACAAACAATAACCTCACAAAATATCGAATGATTTTTAATCATTCTTGTTCATACAATAGAGGCTTTGCTATATAGCTTTGAAATCTCTTTTTAATGAGATTTAAGAATTCATTTTTAACCGTAATCGACTGAAAAAACTAAATTTTATATTTGATGACAACTGACTATTGTATTCTTGCCCAACTAAAACATGTACTGCCACCTATATAGCAACTACTCTATTGCTAAAAATATATTTACAATTCACATGCAAAGTACAATTTCTAGACTATAAAAACACATAAGTAATTAATTGTACTGTTGCCATTATTGATGCAAATATTTATATAAAAGTATATTGAGTTCCTTTAAAAGCAGTATTGATAATCTTTATTATATGCAAAAATACAAATAATGATTAGGAGTGTCACAGGAAATAAAATATGGTATTGGTATTTGCCATTTGGATAAACTTTTTATGATGTGGGTATAAGACATGAGAATTTTTAATGATACATATTTTACCTGTATTTTTGTTTTTCCTGTTAGATAAAGTAAAGGGTCAAGAAAATGAACCAATATAAAAGTGAACAATGCCACTTTTTGTCTTGCTTGAAAGCCTAAGCCCCCCCCCCCCTTCTATATCTCACCTTCACAAGAAGGTGAAGTACCGGGACACTCCCAATAATACATACATTTGTGAAATTGAACAAGTTCAGTTCAAGACTCCAGATTTCAGACTTTTTATTAAAAATGATTATGACATTTCCGACTTTTTATTTAAAAATGATTATGACATTTCCGACTTTTCATTTAAAAATGATTATGACATCTGATATTCATAAGAAAATGAAAAAGAACATGTATACATTCTAATTCTTACCATGTTCTAATTCTTACAAAGCAATCTGGAGTCTAATAATAATTTCATGTTACAATGAATAATAAACAAATGGCAATGACACTGCAATGGAATATAAATAGGAATGTTTTTGAAAGTACATGTATATATTGAATGCATATTGTAGCCTATTGACTATGGACGGACTGTATACTGGTCATAGAATTATTTTACAATTATACAATAGTACGATTTAATTATAAAACTAATATGTGAAATACTTAATTTCCATTCTGAATTATCAGAACCTCCCTCAGTTACATTGAGAGCAAGAAGAATAAATGGAATGGTTTATTGGTTATACAATTTTTTGTTAAATTCTCATGGTATAATATACAGTACTCTGTCACATGACTTTTATTATAACATGAGCGTTGCGGTTAAACTCCTGAAACTGGTTACGAAAACTGATCCATTTCGGTAACAAAATGGAGCAGCACCGGAAGTAAGATTTTTTTCCTCCTGATTTCATGAGTGTAGGAAGAATCTTCTTGACCTTTTTGTCAAAAACCTGTGTCAGCATCATATGTTTCAGAAAATCTATGAGACACAAGAATTATCAAAAAATTCCTCGCTATTGTTATGTAAACCGAACAGTTAAAAGTGAAGATGTTTACTGTTCCGTTTATGTAACAAAACTTCTTGTGAGCCAAAATTTCTAATACATGTGTGACAGACTACCCACAAAGCGATGTTTGATAATCACTCTCAACCAATGTATAAAAAAAATCAAATATCCTGTGAGCAAAATGAAAAGTGCTTAATAACAACAATTACAGATCATTTTATGAAAGCTTATTGTCTGATTAAAGAGAAAATGTCCCTTTTTCTAAATAAATAAACTAATGACAATCAAAAGTTATCACAGATTTACGCAAAATATAAGAGTACAGCTTACATGGGGATATGACATGCAATCTCAATTTGGTCAGTTGATATACTGTACTCCCAGTAAATTTTGCATACTATACTTTGTGGTTTTCAGGGCTTTTGGTAAATTCATAAAACAGTTCTAATTCACAAAATAGAATATGAAAGCTACGAAAGTTCAAAATCACAAAAACATAATACTGCAGTGTCAAATATTAGTGGGAGTACATTAATCAAGATTCATACAAATCAAATTTACACGTTAAACTGTCCTTACAGTATTCTCCCCCAGATTTTTGTACCTTTTTAAATTTTTTATCTTTTCTGACAAATAAATAAGGCTGAAATGAATAGAATAATATATGACTAGAAGCCATGTGATTACATTTTTAAGGGATTACTTTTTATCCTAGAATCATGACTCGTACTGACCTATCGCTCACTTTGACTTTTTGTTATTGTATTTATTCACACAGTGATCAATTTGGTAACTCAAATTAGGGAGAAACAGGACCAAATAACTGTTGCATAGCAAAATGTGCCAAATTTTTCTGAAGTCACCATACAGAAGTATCGCAAGTAACTTTTTACCATTCAAATATTGCTGCATCCTTTAGATACATATATGTCCAAAATACATATATGTCTCTATTAGAAATTAGAATTTTGTCAATCAACTAACTTACTCAATCACTGGTTTTTATCTGGGGAGATTACCGTAAAACTGTAACAAAAATATGAGTTTGTATCATTTTTATATAAATCAAAATCATTTTTTCAAATATATCACACAAAAATTGGGTTCAAACATTCATTGTTTCAGAATTATTATATACATGTAATTTGAGTGTGACACTTTGATATGTTTATGTTTTATGTGGAACAAAACAGGCCTGTCAAAAAACCAAGATTCTGAACCAGAAATCTATTTTGATAATACTGTTCCATCAAACCTTAATATTCTCATGCATACTTTCCCATTATCAAGCTGGCAGGCCATGCTTACTTTCTACATTATGGAACACACATAATGACACATGTGTAGGAGTACATGTGTATTTTGAAATGCCATGGGGGCTAGCTGCTGATATTGGTGTGACGCCTAGTTCTCTTTGGTCCAAGCATCCTCAACATTAACTTTCTCATTGGAGGTCCCCTCCTCCAGGGTTTCACATATCTGGTCATTCTGCTTAATCCATCGCCATAACATAAACAGTTCTATGATCCACTTAACAACAACAAAGAGCAAGAGAATGAGATGTATAACGTAGAATGCTGCGTAGCGGGCCTCCTGCTCTTGAAAGAGACATGCTGGAGACATAGATATGCCCCCTGAACACGGAATGTACCATGGCAGCATGGTTTGACGGAACAACCAAAACAAGCCATTCGCAATCCAGAATGAGCCAATGTTTCCAAAGATTGCAAGTCTGGAAAACTTGCCATATGTTTTGTGTGGATTTAGACAGAACCCTGGAATGTAAAAAACGTTATCATCATTAAATGTTTATATGCTATCTGTATCGTGAGAATTTTTAATCAATGAATGTGTCTTAGTGGCTAGTGCCTAAAATATACTATACTAAAATTTAAAAAAAAAACTTATTTAACTCATCAAAATATTTTGATAAGGTCCTTCTGTGCTAAAAATAATCCAATTATTATGAGAAATATAAAAGAATAGACCTATATGATGTTTGATATATCTCAAAGTTCATATCAAGATACAATTTAAACAATATATATGTGGCACCTGCACAGATGCACAATCGCACACTCATCAGCAATGTCCTTATATCTGGAGAATATCATGTAACTGTACCTGGTATAAAGGTGAGCCAGTGCAATGCAAACATGAATCCAAGGAGTATCCATCCAGAATATGCGAAGATATACCTTCCTATTACTCTAGATTTTTCTGAAAGAGGCATAATAAAACTGTGTGCCTTAAAGGTTCTGCTGGTAGAAAAGTCAAGCAATTGAGAACGATGGAGTAATCTGAAAGAATAAAATGTAATTTCCATGGATTAAAATCAAATTACAATTTTGACTTTTAGAATACAGGTACAGAAAAACTTCAAAAAAGTGATCGCCGATACAGCACAAACCAAACGCTGAAGAAAATGAACGTATTTTGTTCAGACTTTTCACGCGGATACCGTATAATGTCACACATTTTCCTCGAAATATTTCGTACCTACTTGAAAGCCCATGATAGCTGACACAAGGCCGGAATACAATTCTTTAGCACATATTTGGGTTTGTGTAAAAAACCGGGTGACCGGGTAAACCGGGTAGCCGGATGACCGGGTACCCTACCTTCCTACCAGGGTTAGGAATTTAATTTTTTCATTTTATGCCTCAAAATGCCCAACTGACATCCCAATCAACGTACCAGTGACACAACCAATCAAGAAAACAACCAAACAAGCAACAAAATTTATTTACCAATAAATCCACCGGCAAAACGACAAACAAAATTAATATAATGTCAATCAGTGAGGCAATAAATCAAGCAACTAATGTTGTATTGTACATCATACACTAATTAACAGATAAAAACGGCAAATAACGTTTCAAATTTACGCGTACGTAAATTCAGATTTGTTTAATATCTAGTTGAAATCGCCATCATAGAAAACAATCATCGATATCCTATCAATCACTCAGACAATAAATCAAGCAACTAACGTCATAGTACGTGTAAACTGTGTAAATAACTACCTAGGACTTCCATCTCTTACAGGTTCTTGGTAAAATGATAACGTAAAAATATTGAAGGGTAGTCTACAAATCTTGGTAAAAATGATAACGTAAAAATATTGAAGGGTAGTCTACAAATGTGGAACTTTGAAAGTTGGTAACTCTGTAAGGAACGTTAAGTACCCGGTTACCCTAGTATGTATCCAACAGACTGAATATAATATTCGGTCTGTTATGATTGATATATTTCCTGTGGAAATCGCGGTGATATTTTTTGCACATAAATTTCTCGTTTATTACAAGAATGTTCACCTTGAAAATTGGTGAATATGTTGAAGAGATGTTCATGTTAAACTAGAAGCAAAAATATTTGTATAAGGCGGGTACAAGTTGATATAAAATAATGAAATGTTCAGACTCACCAAAACTTCAGGATGTGTTCATAAGTAGATCGCGAAATCAATGTCAAGGCATTTGAGTTCACGAGATCCAAACGAGATATGCAAATTTCTGAACTTTGACAACACATGACCATTTGATTACCTCGGCCTTCTTCATGAATATTTCCGCTCTATTTACTATAAATGAAGAAAATTAATCGGGATAATGATAATAAATGACTAGATCTAATAAATTCCCGCACAAATGGAATTTATCAATACGCTTTCGTAATGTTGCTCCGTCCGCTCCACGTGTTATTTGTTTACAAATAGACTGACGTCACTGGCTAAATCTCGTTTATCGTGAGAATTGGCATTGCCAAAATGGCTTGACCTAATCAATGGCTTCGCTACAAGAAGCGTCTGTACATTTTATGAATATCTTCAGTAAGAGGACAATATACGAAAAAATAATATTGTAAGTTCTTTATAAGGTAATCATTTTATCATTAAACAAACTTATTTGTAACATTTATGCAACACCACATTTTACAATAGGTGACTTACAGTCTGAATATCTATTCAGACGAAGGATACAGTCTACCGGTTACCCGGTCACCCGTTTTTTTACACAAACCCCACATATTTGTATGTCAAACTACAAGCAATCAAAACTTACAAACGTTTAGAAATTTAAATAATATGAATTTATTTTGTTAAACTTTATTGCTTTTTTGACTGACGAACATAAAAAGTGATATGATTCGGAATGCTAAAGAGCTTTGTTTTGAAAATTATTGAAGTTTTCCACAATTTTCATCTGACGAACAAACACGCACCTACAAGTACATTGAACCAAGGTCGATGGGTTTCCACGATTCCAACGCTTACTGCTGATAAAACATCTTGGTAATTGATGCTTTAACCATAAAACAGCGTCTACAATTTATATAATATTACTGTTATTCTATTTATTTTCTTTTTTCATTTTTTCTCCAGGAAACAGCTCTTCTCTTTGGAGGTAGAAAGTACGAACTCTTCAAATTCGGGTCAGGTACGTTCTAAGTCAGCACTATCTATTTCCTAAACTGTGAGCAGCAATCATCCCTATACTTTATTATTTCAAGAGTATATGTATGTAGGAGACCCTACAACTATCCGCGATTTCCTTTTGTTATAGAGGTTTGTAGAATATAAAATGTGAAGTTGATTTTTCAAGATTTTTCCCCGGGGATTTTTCAACTTCAAGTCAACCACAGATTTATTATAAGTTAGAATAGATTAGATATTTCGAACGTCCTGTAGGTTGAGATGGTTACACATCGTCTTTGATCAGTTAGACTATTTGGAGTTTTGACTTACTCAGGGTCATGGGTCACCTTCTAGATCTACCTATATCGATTTATTACTATCCCAACGAACAGTCTTAAGCTTTTTGCCGACGACAGCCTTTTATTCATGACAGTCGAAAGCAAGCAAGATGCATTAACACTACAGGAGAATCTTGATAAACTGGTCTCCTGGGCATCAACATGGCAAATGAAATTCCATCCATCAAAATGCTATGTGCTAAATATTCACAAAGGTAAATCCCCTATCATGCACAATTACACCATGCTAGGGGAACACACATCCCATACCTAGGAATTGACATCACAAATAACTTACGCTGGACTACACATATTCAAACTATTGTATCCAAAGCCAATAAGGTGCTTGGATTTCTCAGGCGCAACCTCCATCAATGCCCTGAAAAAGTGAAGGCTCAGGCGTATAAGTCACTAGTCCGGCCTAATTTAGAGTATGCCAGCTCGGCATGGGATCCATACCGACAAAAAGATATTGATATGTTGGAACAGGTACAGAGAAGAGCAGCCAGGTTTGTAACCAAATGTCACTCAAGGGAACCAGGCTGCGTCACCAAAGCTCTTCAAGACCTACAGTGGGAGCCACTGAAGGAGCGTCGAGAGGCTGCTAGAGTTTTCCTTTTCTACAAAGGAAAGCAGAACCTAGCAGCCATCGACGTGCCTCCATACTTCCGCCAACAGATCAATACCAACACTAGGTTGTATCATCCTTCTAAGTTCATACAACCATCAGCTAGAACGGATGCATACAAATTTAGCTATTTCCCTAGGACAATAGCTAAATGGAACACTCTACCTGGTGACATCTTAGACTGTGACAGTCTAAGTAGTTTTAAATCATCATACTATGCCTATGTCAATAACTGCAATTAAATAGGTGTGTTTTTAATATAGATCTATGTTTTAATGTAAAGGGTCCCCAGTGCACAGCAACAAGCCTGCACTACTGGTAAAAGGGGGTGATGTCAACGCGGTAGCCTGACAGTCTCCCCAGGTAAAATGAGTTGTAAACCATAGATCTATTTTTAAATGTTAAGGTTTTAAATTATATTCTATTCAAATTCTATCACTGTTAAATTATATATCTGCTTTATATGGGCTTATTAGCCTTTTGCAGATTATTGACATAGACATAGACATAGAACAAAGTTCGGTGGGGATATAGCCTAGTGAAGCCCTTTGTTCATCTGTCAGTCTGTCCATCCGTCTGGGAGATAACTCAAACACTAGTACACAGATTTGCTTAAAATTTGGTGGAAACATGTATATTGGTCAATAGTACGTTTTTACGCAAAAAAACTATATTTTGCGAATTTTTTATTTTACCAGATACATATAGAACAAATAAGGAATATTATTGTTTGAAATTTTAGTAGTAGACTTTATTCACAACATCTATCTATTTCACATATATTCATTGTTTTTAAGCCTGACCCCCAGGGGCTGCGTATGGCAGGCCTGTCAACTTGGGAACACCTAACATGAGTGACTTGGAAATGTTGAACACCTTCCCTCAAAATGTGGACACCTTGGTCCAAATCTGAACACCTTGATCCAAATTTTGAACACCTTGGTTTAAATTTTATTACATCTTGCCAAATTTTGAACACCTCAAATTTTTCGCGCTCGCTACGCTCGCGTTTAAAACATCCATCAACGAGGGGGGAGATACAAAATGCGTGACATATACGTAGTTCGCGTGTAAAGTCCGAACGAAATGCATACGTTTTTTTTCAACGTTCGTATTTTTGATGTGTAGACAAACTTTTTTAGAAATTTTTCTACATAAATATTTTTGCTTGACAATTACCAGGTAAAATGCGTATTTGCGTGACATTTTCTGTCTTTATTTTACTCAAAAGCTCTCAAATGAAAGGCAATTTAGAGATTGCAAATATTGTATCGTTTTTTCCGATTCAGTCCTTGTATAATTCAAAATGGCCACTTTATGTGGGATTTCGCAATAATTTTCTGATCTCTTCAAAGTATGGCTATATTATACAGTAGTTTAGAGAATACAACACCAAGAAAATGCATGCTGGTGGCTCCCAGAGGGTATACACATTTTTCACCGAGTGCTTTTTTCATCTCCAATCAAATTGCAGGATTCGATCACGTGAGCAATCATGGGCACATGCTCTCTCAGTGCTGTGCATGCGCAGAGTTAAATTTGAAATCGTGGGAATGGCGTTTACATCAGTTCAACATCGTCATTTCAAACCTACGGTAATACTATTGAAGTTACTCGATCCATACTTGTAAAGAATACTCATAAAACTACAGTGAAAATTTGGAGATCCATTTCACAGATATTGGCCAGATCGTTTTGTAGTAGGATCATAGGCTCAAGGAATAATACAGAAGATACGACACTAAATTGGAAAATTTCGAAAAAAAAGTGACCACCTTTCAAAACGTTCCTTGTACAAAATGGTACCTGTTTCCCCGTGACAGATTTTGTACTTGTATGATAGGGCATCTTTGGGGAATCTCCCCCCTGGCCAACACGGTAAAATACCGAATGGCGAAAAAAGCGAACGCATTCCGTTCGGTCTTTGCACGCGATTGCCGTTTATGTCACCCATTTGGTACAAAATATGTGTATATATCACTCATTTGTTTCGAAAATATTCACATCTACTATATATATTTTGCAAGTGGATCCAAGAGACCAAGTGGGCAAGTCAATTATTTTGCAGGGGTGGCATGATACACAGATTTCAATTTTGTATATAGTGAATTCCCAGTGATTGATTTCAGTACAGTAAAACTGTCATAGTGAACACCTCTTTAGTGAAGATCTGTGCCCAGTGACATGCCTCTACTCTATTGAACACCTGTGTATATTATAGTGAACACCGATTCCGTCCCAGCCAGTGAGTTCAGTACAGTAAAAATATCCTAATGAACACCTCTTTAGTGAAGATCTGTGCCCAGTGAAAACATGCGTCTACTCTATTGAACACCTGTGTATAGTGAACACCAATTCCCAGTACAGTAAAACTGTCATATTGAACATCTCTTTAGTGAAATACTGTGCCCAGCGAACATATGAGTATACTCTATTGAACACCTGTGTGTAAGCGAACACCAATTCCCAGCCAGTGATTTCAGTAACTTTTAGAGGGGATTGTACCTACAGTAAAATCTGTCTAATCCAAGGGACCAGCTCAGAGCGTTCGGATTAGGAGGTGTTCACATTTTGAGGTTTGATTTGGGTTTTTGAAGAAATAGAAACAAATTCTCAATAAATATTATAGTTCTTTTGACTACTTAGCTTTGGCATTAGAGTGACATGAAAATCTGATTCAAATGAATTTAGTCATCCTAGAAAGCCCCACCATGAGTGAGATCGTTCAAGTTTTTTTCAAATATTTGATCAATTTATGGAACATGTGATATTTTATGTGTTCAGATTAGATAGGTTAATTTTCAAACATGACTGTTCACTGTCAAAATTGGGAGATGTTCATATTTCAAGTTTTTTAAACATTTGAGTCAATGGGAGAAAAAACGGGACCAAAAAATGTTCAAATTGGGAGGTGTTCGGATTAGCCAAGTGTTCAGATATACAGGTTTTACTGTACTACAATTGTTTTCAATCTTTTGGAGGAAAGTGTACATCATTCCAGAGAAATGACAGATGCACTGTATATACAGTGATCGCCTACTATTAAAAGTGCGTGATCAAAGACTTGATAAGATGCGCAAAATTCAAATATTTTGTAACGGTTACTTTTAAAAGATTTATTTGTGTTTATATTACAGGCTACTGGTGATTCAATTAGGTTTTGTAGGCACAAGAACACCCATATGCTTTGAGAAATATATATTAGTTTGACCATTTTTCGTATATGTTATTGATTTTACAATTTAAAGATATAAATGCGATACAATATGTGTTATTTTATTTAAAAAGCTTGAAAATATCAAAAACAATAGAACATTTTTACTCTCTTTAATTTTTTATACTTAGGTAGGGTCTTGGACTTCCATTTGACCATGATGAAATTCACGTTTCCCCTTCAATAACATGGAATAAATACATTTGAATACATTACCAAATAATAAATTTGAATACATTACCATTAAATGATATATACACTGAACCTCTAGAACCTGCTAAGTGAAACACCTCTTGAAGCGTAACACCTTACAAGTGGAACCGTTTTTTAAGTTCCATTTAGTCCATTTATTTTACGCCTCTGATCCCAAGGTATGAGAACTATACACCTTGGCATCCAAGATGATTGTCGAATTGTAATGTAATTGTAATTGTAATAAAATATAAAATCTGAATTGTACATTATCTATTTCATTTGGGAGTTAAATCATTCTTTTGCAGCAAGGTATCAATAAGTAATGTAATGACGTAATAACCTTCAGTAGATGCCAGTAGTCAGTTCCCAGTTTCACCACGAGGTGGCTAACTTGGGTCATATATAAATGACAGGTATAAGGGAAAACTCCTCTAAGGTATTCAATATTCAGTAGATTTATTGATCAATTTTCAACTAAGGTCTATAAGTGATTAGCTTGAGAATTTTAGAATTGTATGTAATCGAATGCAAAATAAACGACCAGTGAGCGTTTTTAGAGAAACTCTACAAAATGTGAAATAAATACCATGCTATTATCTCTAATGACAGAGTTATGTGGATCGATGGGACCGAGTAAAAGTTCCAGT